AACACTGAATTCCTGACTTCTGGAGAATATTTATGCAAAATTTAGAGATACAAATCTAAAACACAAAATTACAACTATACATAATATTGATTTAAATATATATGTATGTTTATTTTTAAATAAAGCTGTTATGTTGTGACTTTAAAGTCATAAATAACATGAAGACGTGCACATTACCAGTTTGACAGCATAAGACAGTAAAGATGTTTGAGCACAGACTCTGCAGGAATGAACTCTTCTTGATTGCTGCATAAAGAAATCTGACAGGCGTATGTCACTTAGTCATTTCTCATGCTTTCTTATGTGTTCATGCAGAGCAGAGGTGTCCACCTGGCCACCTATAGACCTTATAGCTGAGAGTCTTAACCGTCAGCAGAATCTGATTTCCTCGTTTCTTTCTCTGCTCCTCTGCTACCGTCAGAGAAGAATTAGCCGTGAGCAAAGTGTCATAGAAATGATCAGATTTATGAACAGACCCAAAACAGGACTTATATAAGACATCTCGCCCAAAGCAGGGGAGGGGCAGATAAATCAACCACTAAAACTCAAACTTCCTTCAATTTGGGTTTTTACTACATCTTCCTAAAGGTCACAGAGCCGCTGGAGGCTAAATCAGCCCGTAAGTGAGCAGAATCAGAGGAGTAATGATGGTCTGTGATTAGTCAGAGTGCTGGGTGAAGAAATTATCCAATCAGAGAGCTGTATTCCAGCACACACCCCTGTTATTCACAAATTCCTTCACATACTATAGAGGAGTTTTTTTTCCTGCATTTAGACTGAGATAAATCTGTTACTGCAGAGGTCAAATATTCAGATACGACCTACAGAAGAGAGGCAATGTTCTGGATAAAGGTAATGCATCAGTTATACTATTAAGGTCCTTTCACACCAGGAGCGTTTTTTTCATGTAATTATTTCGGACGTCAATATTTTTTTCGAACCCGTATTCTGTACAAGCGTCCACATCAACGGCGTTTTCCCTTCCTGCAATGTTGCCGTATATTTTTTTTCGCATCACGGTCAATTTTTCTACAGTTTTGCATACTGTGTGTCCACTTCTGACCAATCAGATTTCGTGTTGTCATGTCATGTTGACGTCAGATTCACAGGTATATCCAACATGGCCGACCGGCTGATTGTTTACGTGTCAGAGAACAGAGTGCTTTTTGATAAAAAACACAAATATTAAAAAGATAATATAAGACAATGGTTCGTGTGCTTTAACAGTTTGCTAAACGTCTTTGTTTTAACTTTCATCTGTGCTAAGTAACTTTAGCTCGTAAGCTAACCTGTTCAGATACAACATACCATATGTATTTTCACTGTCTCAAACTCAATCGCGTTGCTGTCACAGCACCATTAGGTCTCGGTTGTTACCTTATGTTTATGGATTATAGTTTAATGTGTTTATCTGGTACTGACCCCGACTCAGTACATGCTATCATGACAGACAGACATCTCAACACTAGTGTCTAATCAGAACTGAAAAACACTCAGTCTGCTGTTGTGTCAGTCTTCTCGCTTCCACCCGGGACGCGTCTTTGTTCCCCTCGGAAAGTCGCAAAATCACATCGTGCTTGATGTGTATAGTCAGGCACTTCAAAATTCGGCTCTGAATATTTTGTAATTTCGCATCGTATATTTGCGTCGTCCCCGGTGTGTAAGGACCTTTACAGTTTCATTTAACAGATACTTGAATCCAAAGGGATGTGCACATGTGAGATTGAAAACAACACCAACAAAGATTCAGACAGAAGGAAACAAGACGAGACTCAAACTAATTTGAGTCCAGTCACATAAAAGATTAGTCTAAAGCAGTTACATTTCTGCAACATGTTTTTATGTTGTTGATTTTTAAAGATGAGAATAATTTTGAGTGTTTTTTTTTTAACACCAAGACTGATTTCTGCAGATCTATACATAAAGGATTTCACACCTCCAGTGTTGAACAAAAGGACTTTATGTATCTCTTTATGGATGGATAAAAACTTCCCCTCAAAGCCTCGCCCAAAAAAAGAACTAAAATAAAATGACAACAAACCCTTAACTGTTAATATATTTCTAAAGTGCACTGTAAAAGGCTGGATTGGCACCACCTTACTGAGCTGAACTCCTCTGTGTGTACTCCAGCTACAGCTCTGGGGTCAACCAATCAGGGTGGATGGTCGAGTCTTTGCAGTAACTGATCCCAATCTGTGCAACAACTCACCTTTTCAAAAAAGCTCCGCCCCCTTATGAATGCTTTAAATCAGTTTTGTGGAGCTACCGTTCTTTTTGGCTTTCCTTTAAGACATTAACGTTAGTATTCTGAAAGCCAATGTTTGTCTGAACAAGGGCTCCTTCAGACAATGAAGTAGGGACTTTTTTGAGATAGGGAAAGCCCACTCAAGCCAGCAGGGCAAACTTTATGGGAGCAATAACATTTTAGATAGATGGAGGATTTCTGTGAGTGAAGAATAATTTATTGGAGAAAAAATTATTGTGCAGAAATTAGACAAAGAATTTTTAGATGTGAGGAAATTGGAAGACAGCATGACATTTTTCCTTTATATTTATAGTTCTTATTGCTTATATTACAGCTGCAGTGATTGCTGGAATATAATGGTGATTATTATCCTCAGAGAAAAAGCAAACACGTGTTTTTGTTTGTAGTACATTGTGGGGACTCAGACTTATTTGTGACATTATGGGGACCAAAGTGAAAACTTCTGAAAAAAGTGAAAAGCTTCAGGATCCTGACTGTGAACATTAGGATCTTCAATCTGAGAGGATATGACATCCTTATATAAGTCTGTTCATACCACTCTTTGTGTGTGTGTGTGTGTGTGTGTGTGTGTGTGTCATCTTCAGTTTCCGTCAGACTGGATTCACTTTTTTAAATCAACCGGGTCAGTTTCTGTTTTTTCTGTGTGTTGACGTTCACTCAGTCATCAACACTCAGAGAGAAGAACAGTCTGAAAACAGACCCTCATGCTCTCCAGGGTAATAAAATCTGAGCTCCTGTTTCATGCACAGGTGAGAACTTTTGAAAAACTTTCATAAATACCACAAGTCCTCAATCGTTTTTATTTCCTTGTTTTTAACTCGTCTCTGTTTTTATGGGAAAAGTCACAAAATAAGGTCATAAAATCAACCCGAGTCTGCTCTGACACCAGCAGAAGAGTAAGCAATAAAAGAGAGGAGTATTAGTGTCTTACACATGCAGGTAAATGAGGAATGATGCCCAGAGGGTTGTAGAGAATATCTCACGTTATTAGCAGAAAATTGGATCTGTGTTGATCCTTGACGTGAAACAGCCTGCACGCTAAGATCAAGTGAAGATTATAGTTAAAGGGACCAGTGTGAGAAAAGCATAATTTACAAATAAAGGATGAGAGTGAGCAAACTGGTTAAAAAGCAGACAGACACGTGCTGCAGGAGGACCAGCAGGGGGCAGCATGAGTCTTGACAAAACAAGCTGAGACTCTATAATGACTGACTTCTAATGTTAATGTTTTTATCAAGACTAGACAACTAAAACTAAAAACACTTCACAGGAGATCCAAGTCATAATATGATCACTGTTCAGACAGTTTTGTTTCTGTGTAGATTTCTTTAATACATTTGTTCTTGTTGCACTTCAGTGTGACACATATTAAGTTTGTTTTTATGAGCGTTAACACTCTTTAGTCTCTCCTGTCACTCTTCATTTTCTCTGTTGGAGTGTACAAAAAAAACAAGACATAAATAGTATGTGGTCTCAGCGACCTCTCTTAGCTTTGGATTTTATTTTCACTTTTCTAATTTTTCAAAGTGTCTTTGTTAAGGGTGATTATCCAGTTATTTCCATTTGTAATGCTGTGGAATGATGAATATTTTAATTGCAGGATTTTAGCAGGTAATCATGATGAATAACTTTAGTTTGCATTTTGAAAATTCCATATTTTGCATTTACAAACTGCAATTAAGTCATTGTGAACATTATAAAGCAATTTTGAACAGTGAGAATCAAATGAAAATACTGTGTTTTCTTAACTTTCAGAGTTATTATTCAGATAAGTGGTAATTTGCTGCAGCAGTGAGGTCTGAATATGTGACAAGGAGAGAGGAGACAGTTCCCGGGAGTTAAGTCCATCAGACACAAAGTAAATTCGACAACAGACAGAGGTGATTTTTATCATTTGATCTGCAAAATTCAAGGTTCATTTTGTATTTATTTATTCTGTCTAATACAGGGTTTATTTTATGATTTCTTCTCTCAGATTCAGGGTTTATTGTATGGTTTATTCAGTCAAAATACCAGGTGTATTTGATAATTTATTCTTTCAGATACACATTTTATTTTATTTGTTTTTAAATTTTTAAATACAGGGTTTATTCTATTATTTATACTATTGAATCCAGGGTTTATTTTATTTTATTTTTGTCAAATAGGGTTTATTTGATCATTTTAGAGCGAATACATGCAATTTCAGTTTCCACAGGGTGAAAAGTTAATCTTTTCAGGAGTTCCAGTTTGGTTGCTTTCTCAATATTTTTGATCTAGTTTAATGCACAGTATTGTGGTAATTCTCTTGAATTGTGTCTGTCAGATTTTGTGTACTTAGTGATTAGCTGCACCTGTATTTTCACCTCATAGCTGATAGTTCAAACTATAGGAACTCAATTTTTATTTTGTTTGACATAGAGTGAAGATAACTTCGGACATGTAAACTAAATGGTTTATTTCATGTATTTTTTGACTCGTATCAGCACAGGTTGTGTACTGTGGATTATAAATAAACTGTTACTGAGGACACTGATGGTGAAATAAAGTCTTCACTTTCATGTTGCTCATTTTTATATTTTCCTCACTGCTCTTAATATCACTTATTTAAAGTTCAAGTCTGATCTCACTGTCAGAGTAAAGAGAAAAACAGCCACACTCAAAGACCTGATTTGACCTTCACTTTATTGATCAACCACTAGAATCTCTGATCAACATTATTGATGATGATGAAGGTGAGTGACTCTTCTGTTCCTCACAGGACAGAGGCAGAGGCAGCGGAGGATGAGGATGAGGACACAATCTTCCCATCAACCACCTCTTCCACCACCGTCACGACTCGGCGGGTGGTGGTGGTGGTGGTACTACTGTGAACCAATCAGAGAGCAAATCAGTCAGAGTGACAGCAAAATTAGATATTGATAATTCAAATTATTGTGACATTTCTCACTATCTCGGCTTAGTTTGCTCTGATTTTTAATGACCATGCCAAAGAAACATTCAACAGAGGAAAGACACCATTAAAAAAATATATTTTTTATAATAAGAAATTGTCACTGTTTTTGTTTTTCAGCATTTACAAATGCTTTACTGAGGACTTGTGGATATAAAAACCCTCCCTGCAGAGATGAGACGACCTTTTCTAAGGTGTGGTCATTAACACCTGGGTCTCACCTGGTAACAGACTCTCCATCCAGCAGTCTCCTGTACTCGGCGATCTCCAGCTCCAGTTTGGTCTTGATGTCCAGCAGCATCTGATAGTCCTGACGCTGACGCTCCATGTCAGCTCTCAGCTGCACCAGCTGCTCCTCCAGCATCGTCACCTGGACAAGGGGGAGAAGAGGCACAAAAAGAAGAAAGAGGAGGAAAAGATGCAGAGTGGATGAAGTGAATCAGATAAAAGTCTAAATCTTAAAAAGTCAAACTCTGACTCAGTCATGGTCTCACCTGAGACTGGTATCCTGAGAGTACCATGCTGTAGCGGTTTTGAGTCTCAGCCAGAGTTCCCTCCAGAGACGCTTTCTGCAGAAAAACAAAGTAAGTCTCAAATGAAAAAATGAATTTTTCTTTTCATCACTTACATTTTTATGTTACTTTTATATTTTTATTTCACAGTGACACAGCAGAGCAACATGTCGTTAAGTTACACCTGCTGCAGAAGCCCCAAAAAGACACAGGAAGGAAAACCCTCCAGTTCATTTCAAAATCCAGTATTTGTAATTTTTACTTAATGTGTTTATGAATTCAAAGTGACATTTTTTTCAGATTTTATATTCTTATTCTCATCATTTTTAAGCTTTTGGAGCACATTTCTATTGATCAACTAAAGATTTCAACATTTTTTTAAAATCAATTGCAGATTAAACCATCATAAATCCAGCTTGTGAGGAGAACCTGCAGCCTCTCAGTTTCTGCGGACTCACCAGGCCGAGCAGCGTCTGCAGCTCCACCTGCAGATTCTGCAGGGTGCGCTTCACCTCCGTGATCTCTGATCTGGATGTCTGCAGGCTGTCAGTCTGAGTGACCACCTCTTTGTTCAGGGCCTCCGACTGCACACACACACACACACACACACACACACACACGAATACACATATACCAGGTTAATAAGACGACATCCAGGTGAGCTCTCAGTCCAAAACAGGATAATGTCACAGCAGTACCTTGGCTTGGAACCAGTGCTCTAGATCTCTCTGATTTTTAGCAGCAACCGCCTCATAGTGCTCTCTGATTTCAGCCATGATCTTATTCAGGTCATGTCCTGGAGTGGCGTCCACCTCCACGTTCACCTGACCACTCATCTGGGTGCGCATCGCCAACATCTCCTGCAGAGAGACCCCAAACATCAGACTTGGTCAGGACCAACCATTTTTGTAAACATCAAACCCTGACCTACAAGAAACTAAAAAATTAACCGGTCAAAGAAGAGAGCTGTAAGTTTGGAATAAAAAAAAGTTATTAATTGCTAGAACTAAGAAAAAAAATTGAAGAAGATAATTTTATAAATCAAAAAGATAAATTTGTAAAAGTGTTTCTTTTGTAAGCACTGAGGAGACAGCAGTTGTATTTATATGCTGTAATGTATAGAGCAGCCTCAAGAGGGCGCTATTTAATTTTCTATAAACATGCCTTCACTGTGTGGAAACCTGCTTCTGCTAAAGTTTGATTAAAATAGCCTACAGTATATCAACCAAAATGTACCTCATTTCACATTGATTCTTTAATCTATTAAACGAAAACTAAAGAACATGTAGATTAAAAATTCAAGAATAACTATTTAATAAAAATTGATAAATAATGTAAAAAAGCATGAAAATGCAAATTGAACTTTGAACTGAGACATTTTAATCAAACTTTTATTTATTTACTCTAAATTATCCTTTTGGGTTCTTGACTTTATATGAATTTCTTTTTCAAAACCGTGGAGGTTCATTTGAGAAATTAATAGACCAAATAGTGATTAAAAATAAATAAAATTCGGGCCCTTTACCTCCTCATGGTTCTTCTTGAGGAAGATCAGCTCCTCCTTAAGACCCTCAATCTGCATTGCCAGGTCAGTCTTTGCCAAGTTCAGTTCATCCAGGACCCTCTTCAACCCAGCAATGTCCGCCTCCACAGACGTGCGCATCGCAAGCTCTGTTTCATACCTGTGAGGGGGGAGGGGAGGATAAGAAAACAAGATGAGGAATCACGAGATGAGGAGGATACATGGGGTGAGGATGGAGAGCAGGTGTAGTGGGCGGAGTCAGGCGATGGATGGGTGTGATGCTCTGTGGTTATAAGCGTGTGAGCTGCTGTTAAACTGTCAAATAAAAACTATGAACATACTTTACGAGACGTCACAAATTAGCAGTACCAATACTTCAACAAGTATTTTCACCACCACTACTACTACTACTACTATTATAGTACTAACAATGCTGTGGTTTTAACCTGTAGTATTTCTAGTACTGCAGTGGTCCAGAGTCGACCAATAATGTCGTTTATATACTCAAATAAAATATTTGTTTATAGTATAAATATCATCTCTAAAAAGTTCAAAAAAGTACTTTTACACATAAACCTAATACATCTACAACTACTAGATACCAGTGACTCACTGTCTAAGTCCTACAAATACTGCCAGCTGTTGTAGAAGTACTACTTTAAAAAACAGAAGTTATAGTCCCAGTACTCTTAGAGTAAACATAGTACCAGAACTACTCTGTTAGTTCTTTGATATAGTTTCGGTACCACTCTAAAAATTCTTGAATTAAGTATTATAGTGAATATAATATTTGATGTTGAATTCCCTGTATTTTTACTTCTTTAAAGGGTTTTTATAAATAATTATTCTGATTTTTGAAGTTTTTGTACTTTTGCTGCTTCAGCTGTTGAATGTAGTAATTTTTTTTTTTTTGGCAGCAGAGTGATTTTATCCTCACAGCTGACCTGATCGAAGTGTTGAATAAATGATCAGAGTTTCTGTATGGATGAGTGTACTGATCCTCCTGAATTTCCGAGCTTGTCTGTTATTACAAACGGATTCACGATGATATGAAGCCCTGAGGTGAGAGCTACCTGATCAAACTTTAACACCTTACCTGCTGCAACCTGTCAATAAAAATACACTTGACACCTTAATAATCAAGACATCAGTGTGTCTTTATATTTGAACAGGCTTTAAGTGCTCTAACTCCTTTGCAGCAATGACAGAAACACCTGACTGATTCACACCTACAGAGCAAACACAGAAAGTTTGATGAGATTAACTCTGTAATAATAAAATCAATAATAAACTCAGAAAATGTCATAATAACCTGATGAAGTTCATACAAATTTTATATTACAGATAGCACAGATCCTGCTAAAGCTGCTAAACCATTTAGTCTCAGAGCTACTTGAGATAACACATTATGCTGTAGAAAACTGTGACATCCCCCATCACCCTCTGAGGCAGTTATGTTGCCTAACAGTGAAAGTCAACATCTTAGGAATGCTGACTCAACCTAGCTGGAGGTCAACCTGCAAAGAGGTGTAGCCGAGGCCGACCTTTAGCCTCTTCTGTAACAACCTGTCACTCAAATCAGCCACACCCCTCATTTTGCATAACACATAAGCTCATAAAAAAACTGTTTTGGACCAGGTTGTGAACATATCTGTTTTCTGCTGGACATTTTAAATGGATGTGTATGCAGCTTTTCAAGGATTGCCTCTAGTGGACACTTGGGGATACTGCAGTTTTTAACATGAAAACATTGGCTTTATATCTCAAAACCAGAGGTTGCTGCCAACATAAACCTATAAGGGCTGGTTTTAATAATTGAGATAAAAAATGAACTATGATACCCTTTCTTTTTTTACTAGGAGAGGGTGCTATCTATCTTTAACTGATCTTGTTGGAAATCCTTGCATCTCTTCAGTGTGGTCATGAATATAGGTGGAGGCAGCAATTGAAGACTTTAAAGCTAAGGATACATCACTTGTTTTTTCCGTACAGAGATGATACCTAAACAGAGTGACAACGTTTGTCTAAACACTGTCTTTGCATTGTGAGATAAGATTTTTTAAACCAATTACACTTGTTTTTTGACTTACTCCTCTAATTTGACATCTTACAGGAGTGTCATAAGCGAGGCAAAGTCAGTATCATTGATCATGTACTGAGGGTATTGATATGTCACTCTCAATATTTATCTCTTTCAGAGGGTTTGGACTTACTTGGTCCTGAAGTCGTCTGCAGCCAGCCGGGCGTTATCGATGCTCAGGTGGATGGCTCCATTTACTTTGATGGCTCCCTGAATCTGAAAGAAAACACAAAAACTTTATTTAATCCTAATAACTACATTGAGAGGAGTTCTGCTGCAATGAAGAAGAAGAAGAAGAAGAAGAAGAAGAAGAAGAAGAAGAAGGAGACCTTGGTACCTAATGCCTGGTACCTGTAAGGCTGAGGATGGTGCGGAGGATAGAGGATGGCTGTTACCTTGTTGGTGAGGTCGGCAATGGTGACGTAGAAGGCGCTGTAGTCTCTGGTGGTGGGGCCAACCTTGCTCTCCACAAACTGCCTGATCTTCAGCTCCAGGTCAGCGTTGGCCTTCTCCAGCGCCGACACCTTGGTCAGGTAGGTGGCCAGACGGTCGTTCAGGTTCTGCATTGCGAACTTCTCGTTGCCGACCAGGCTTTCATCATTGCTGGACATGTTGAAGCCGGAGGAGGACGAGATCCGGACTCCAGCGCCTCCTGCTCCTCCGTACACGCTGCCCAACCTCACGGCCATGCGGTTTCCTCCGCCCATCATGGAGCCGGAGGAGCCCCCCATGGAGGTCCTGACGGAGGAGGAGGAAGAGCGAGAGATGCGAGAGGCCATGGTGGACGCTGTCTGTTTCTGCTGTGGTTGCAGGTGAAGGCTCAGAGGAGAGTGAAGAGCCTCTCACTTCACCTCCTTTTAAACTTTCTGCAACCTCAGAGCTGTCAATCACTCAGCGGCGCAGTGACAGTAGGAATGCTCACAGGAAGCTGAACAGGGAGTGTCAGCATGGGATGGTCAGAGAAAAATGCAACCTGCTCCCCTGCATCACTCATCTGTTGTGGTTGTTTTTGCCAGCATGCAGATTCTCCTGAAGCTACAGACTTTTATTAAGACCTCTGAACCGAAATCAACCTGTCACACACCTGTCAGAAAGAAAGAGAGGGAGACAAAGGTCAACAAAGAGAGCAGAAACACAGTCAAACTGTGGTTACAGTTCAGGGTTTCTATGTAATCAGTCAGATAGCGCCTGTGTTATGGGTGTGGGCCTCAGGTATACATCAGTTCCAAAGAAAGAGGTCTAATGAGACTGCAAACAAAACACTGATAAAGGCACCAATCAAACCCTGACATCAACCTGGAGAACAGCAAAGGTGAAAAACAGTCTTTGGCAATAACACAGCTGATGAAACCTTTCATAAAACCTATAATCTTCCCCACAATGAGGTTTTAAACTCAGAGTCTGAGAGATTTTTAGAAAAAGAATTGTCTTTTTTCCGTTTCAAGGCGGAGGTTTTTTTAGTGTTACCATTGGAAACTCTCAGTCATGCAGTGTTAGTTTGTCCTGTGGGGTACTACAGGTATCAGTTCTGGGACCACTACTGTTCTATATGTTGCAAATGGGACATGTGATCTGTAGATACAGTATTGAGTTTCACTTTTACGCTGATGTCACGCACCTGTACCTTTCTTTCAGCCACAATAATCCCTCTCTTATCATCTGTATCACTGACCTTAGAAAGAGGATGGCCCTCAACTTTCTACAGCTAAACATGAATAAGATAAAGATCATCATTATCCACCCAGACGCTGCACACATCTACATCACTGAACATCTAAAACCCCTCTCAACTGAAATCTCAGTCATTTTGATATAATCCCAATCTGGAGAGGCACATCAGTTCAGTAGTTCAGTCACAATTTTACCAGCTTAGATGATTTTCCAAAATCAGTCATAAGCTTCCCAGAAAAACCCAGACTCTGCACCAAATCAAAAAGAGAGCAGATCACCCCATTTCAGCTTCTCTTCATTAGCTTCCAGTTCATTTTTGAATTGATTTTAAAAATCTTAGCGATAACTTTTCAAGTACAGTGAGCAAACTCAAAAACATTGTTGAACACCTCGTCTTCTAAGTCCAGTTGTAACCCAATGTCCTCAGCAAAGAGTCTGCCGACGAAGGAGACCAGACTTTTTCAAACAAGTAGATCATACTGTCTTATAACCTTTTAAATCTTGTTTGAAAACTAATGTTAAACTGGTTTGCCAAACTAACTTGGTTTTGGTCATGTTTAGCATTTTTTTAGTCATGCTTTACTGGTGCCAACTTAGTTTTAGCTATGTTTAACTGGTTTTACCACATATTTAGTCAAGTCTTACTGATTTAAACCTGAATTTAATCAAGTATAGTCAGTTTTTACCTAGTTTTGGTTATGTTTAACTCATCTTAACTCAGTTTTAGTCATGTTCAACTGTTTTTTTTATCCCAAGTTTTCATCATTTTAACTGATTTTAACTTAGTTTTAGTTCTGGATAATTGTTTTTTAGTGGAGTTTAATGTATGGCTTTTTTTACCATAACATGTCTGAGTGTCATCTTTATGAAAGCATTTTTCTTTCTCAATGAGTTATTTTATAGTTTCATTGATGTTAAAAGCTGCACACTCAGCTTGTACTAAACAGAGTCAGGCTGGGGGTGGGGTTGGACAGTTCCCAAGACATTATGGGAAGGGTTTGTCAAGTTTGATAATTAAGAGATTGATTTGACATTGTAGTTTTGGGTTTTAACTGGAAACTGAACTTTAAATCTAATGAGACCTACCAATTAAATAAAGTTTGGCAGCTGCCAGAGGCAAACAGCAGACTCATGCCAGAATTCACAGAGTGAAGGCAGTGGGAGAGTCTCCAGGCTAAGATTATGTTTCATTTGTAGAGAATAAACCTTATGAAAAATATGTCATACTTTGTTAAATTTGACAAAAAGCTATTAAGATTTTATCTGGAAATGTTTTCCCAGAGATTCAGAGGAGGTCTGTATTTCACAGGATTGGATATTGTCACCTGGTCCTCTCTATGTTTAGGTTTTTATTGACACAGATTTTAAAAAGTTGTAGTTTTGCATTAACTGACCGCCTCCTGAAACTTACACAACCTTTTCTGTAAAGGTGCATGTCAGAGATTTTCACCTGTAGTTGACTGTGGTGGAACCTGTAACCTGACTCCCATACCTTTGTGGTTATATAAGACCAGCCATTTCTCCATTTTGTACTTATTTTATGTTGAATAATCATAAAAATTAGTCGTTTTATAATATCTCTGCACACTTTGTACCCTCAGTACAAACAGTTTCAGTATTTTGCTGTTTGCACAGTTTATCTGTAAAAAACCCTCACCCTGTGCACCTGTTCATAATCATCCACGATTAACCTGCTTTTGACCCCTCCTTCTCATTCCAACCTTCAGCAAACTTCACACCCCCCTTACGGCATCCCATCATTCATCGGCAAAGCATAAGAAGTGATCACACCCTGATCAACACTACAAACAATACTGATCATCAGAAACCAAACACAAGGACTTGGCTGCAACGCTCAGTTTGAGTCTGAAATCGTGTTCGTTATCAGACCTGTTTCTTCACCCTGACAATAAAGTCTCACTCCTAATGGAGACTCTGCGCTGCAGCATGATTCTGACAGCTCTGCTGAAAGCAAACCCATTACCCAGTCAATAATCTGCATAACATGAAGCCATCGCTCAGCTGGTGATCTGACACCCAGAAATCTGACCCTGCTGGCCCAGCAGGTCCTTTAACAAACTTATGCTCATTAAAACATTTTTGTGTCAGGTTTTTATGAGCATTTTCTGAACCTGAAGTTCTCCCTCCCCATACCTCAAAGATTTATTAGAGATTATCTTTACAATGGAACTTTTACAAACAGGACAAGTGGTTTTTACAGCTTGTCAAAGTAAGAAAGGATGAAGTAAAACTGGTTTGAGTTTCACCAGCTGGACAAACTCAAACTCTTTAAAACGGTTTCATGCAAACATGAGAAAGGACAGAACTGCAAACTTCATCATTTCTGCTCCAAAAGAGTGAAAAAGATTGTCATTTAAAAAAAAAGGTTGTTTAACTGGTAAAAGGCTGAAATCTGATCAGGTTATCCTGTAAAGATTTAAATCTGGAAACTCGATCATAGAATCTAAATTAAACTTTTTTGTCAGATATACAATTAAGAATAAAAATGAAAACACTATTGCATACTCAGGCTCTGAGCATCTACAGTCTGGGTGGTTTTTAGTTTGAATAAAAAGTTTGCTCCTGCTGCTGCCCTTACTGAACTGATAACTCAGCTCAACTCAACTCAACTTTTTTTGTTAAGCACTTTAAAACAACCACAGCTGAGCAAAGTGCTGTACATAAATAGACAAAACAACGACATACAAAACAATCAAAAAACAATTAAAACAATGGATAAAATAAAAGCAGAATTAAAAAGGAAAATATTGTTTCAATGTTTTTAAAAACTAATTTAAAAAAGAAACAAATAACTAAAAAACAAACAAACCATAAAACACTAAAACAGGAGCCGAGTCTCATGCAGGAGGAGAAAATACTGATACCCAAACTAACATCTGACCCAGTTCAGACCCACTCCAGTAACAGAAAACAAGAGGATATCAGCAAATTTTCCTTTGACACATTTACAAATTCCTGTTGATAAGACCATGAGTCCAGGAGGAGCCGAGGTAGGCTGGGAGCAACACAGCTCGATTATTCACTTCACCTTAAATAAGGACAAGGATTTACCAATCACAGAGGAGAGGGAGAACAACAGGGGCTTTAACAGACATTTATGACCTTCTGCAAATAATGCAAAAGGAAAACAAAAGTCCTGATGGTAAAGTGCTGATAAATTTCTGAGTAAAGCATATGCATAAACTGAGATGAGTGTCTCTAAATTAGCAAAATTATGCAGAAAACGGCAGCCTAGTTTGTGCGTCAGCTCTTCTTGCAGTTTCTCAGAAAAAGGGCTGAACTGATGGGCATCCACTAAACATTTACTAACATGTAAATTCTCTTAAAAATACTGAAATATCCCTCTAAATCAGGTTGATATACTATGAGGACAAACCAGCAGGGACTCTCATTGATGGATGGTGGAGATCCCCTTCGTATTATATTAAAATAATCATCTGTGTAATGTTAAATAATCGTGGTAAAAATGAAAACAGATATTCAACAGTGAAAGTCCTGCAGTCACAGTTTCACCTGAAGTTTTTTTCATAGTTTACATTCCCAACAGTGAATCTACAGGTTAACTCTGCACCTTCACGGTTCACAACGCTGCAGAAACAAACTCTGAGGCTTCAGCTGAACAGGACCAGATTTATTACTCCTGAGAAGTGATTTATCACTCTTCAGTATCTGACAGGAGGCATCGGTCTGTAAACCAGTTTCTGAAACCTCAAGCTGCTGGACCAACTCCAGCTGCAACACCTGAACACACTTGAGGAATGACAGAGGACAAATTACAGCCAGTGGGGTTGGGTGGGGTAGGGGGGTGTTAAATTCTCACTGAGGGAGGAGGTCAGGACACAGATAAGGAATATAAATACACATAAATATTAGCTTTATATCAGTGAATATCTGAAAAACCTCCTGGCTTTCACATTATTTCACAACTTCAGGCTTTAAAAAAACAAATTTAAGGAGTCTAAAGTTTCCTTAAGATACAAGATACGAACAAAAGTAACTAAACTTAAATATATAAATAAAAAAATACATGCATCCTCTGATTTATCTACCAACAGACAAACAATCTCTTTTACTTAAGCCTGTTGTGGAATTAAAAGGATTGGAGAGATGTTATTACAGTAAACCACAGACGAGTTCCTGATGCACTTCAGATCTGCCACAAGAGAGCGAGCTTTTACATCCCTGCAGAGCTTCTCTCCTGCATTTACGATCAGCTCAGTGTGTTGATGAAAGTAAGAAGATGTGATTTTAGACCAAACGTGTCTAAATTAACTGATATAAAGTTTGTGATGTTAAAAAAATCTACTTTAGTGTCACTTTTGAAGAGTCCAGAACAAAAATTCATCTTCTATTTAAAAAAATAAGTTTATTAAATCATCAGTTACTTCCTCAGAACGATTAGTCTCTTGATTCATTATCAAAATAATGAACAAAAACAGAATAATTTTAACGAGAAAATAAGTTCCTCTGTATTCACTAAAACTAAAGATGATTCTTTAAAACAGACAGAGGAAGAGAGTCTGAACACTAAGCTTGCATTTAGATTATTATGATAAATATTATTACAACATGAGGCTCAGACGCTCATTAGACAAACATGTATGTCCATAAACATGTATTCAGTGACATCTAGTTGTGAGTGTGGATATTACATCAGAAAACCTTTTCACATCTTTTTAGCTTCCTACCATAAAATAAAAACAAATCCAACAAAGACTAAATAAACAACAATAAATAAACTAACAAAGTAAAGGAAACACAAAAGAAATTCAGCAGAAAACAACAACAACAACAACAAATAATAATACAAAGCATAAAGACGCAATCCAAACAACAAAATTAACAAAAAGAAAATAAATGATCAAAAAAGGAAAAAATTGGCAAAAATACAAAAAGGACAAAAACAGAAAAACAAAAAAATAAAAATAAAGGAAATGTAATCATGAACAACAGAAAGGTAGAAAAATTAAAACAAAAAACAATAGAAAAACAAACTAATTTACTCAAAACAAAGAAACAAACAAATAAAAAAGAAAGGGAGCCAAGTAGAACATGAAATGACACAAAAATAATTACAAAAGAAATATTCTAAACAAAACAAAACAAAAAAATTAAAAACCTTTAAGTGTTTCTTAAGTGTCCCCGATTTTCTCAGTCTGATCACACAGAATAAGAAAGTATTGAAAAAATTTTAACATTGAAGAGCAAACAAAAAAGTACAAGTATTTATTACCGATCCTAAATCTTATCTCTTTGACCCCTAATCTTTGACCTCTCTGATCTGTGAGGAATCTGAGTTCTGACGGTCTGGATGGACCAGAGTCAGACTGGAACAGGTCCATCAGGTGAGGTGCATTAATAACCTGCTGATTCCTCCTCAGGTCGACACAGGTGGAAACTCATCAGCTGCCTTACCTCACATGAGGAAAACTCTTTTTATTCCATTAAATAAAAAGACTTTATAGTTTCATTTATTTATCACCATTTATTTTTATTCTACATCTAAAAGGACAAATCAATGAACAGAGACAGAATAACACTGACTTTATTTAGATTCATCAATATCTAACCTCTGGGGACGTCACAGTACTGCTGACAACAGGGCTCAGAAATCCCAATCACAGTTTGACTTAGAATCAAACTGTTCTGTGTAATATATATTCTAGTTTCAATTTTCTGAGGAAAAAACATGAAAACACCATGAACTAATAATTGAGGAGGATCGAGGTGTTTTAGGACCCAGGCTCTGTTCCCATTTGCATTCGGAAATATCTGAAGAAGTCAGATACTCGACTCATCTTGATCAAGACTCTTTTTTTCTTCTTTTCTATTTCCATTTTAACTTTCTTCTCTGTCTTTTTCTCCCCATCCTCCCTTTTTTCGTTCTCCATTCCCCCCTTTTTTCTTATTTTTCTTTCTCCTTTTTGTCTTTCCTGATGATACTTTTGATCAGCCTGCACCCTATGTGCACCCTATGCCCTATTTGATCTTCATCTGAGTTCAGATGGACTCAAAAACACAAACAGACTGAGCTGTGGTGGACCAATGACTCTTCATGTTCTGCTCTAATTTTCCTCAGTGTTGTTTATTGTGTTTGAATCAGATTTGTCTGTCTCCTCAAATCATCTTCCTCTGTGTATTGAAGCTCTGTAATTTCTGTAATCCTGTCAGACTCTAAGACAACAATCCGAGCCTGTCAGGGACCATAAAAACATAAACTTTTAGTGTCCCTCTTTCACTGTGGGTGGATCACATTCCTCCCACCTGCTGGTCTACAGAAACTACAGCCTGTTCACCTGCTGCAGGAGAAAGAAACCTGCTTGAAAACTTTCTCTTTGCCCCCACTCGAACATGTAAAAACGGACTTCCTGTCTAGAAACAACTTTCTGTGGGTGGGGCACATTACTCTGTCCTGCAGGATAACATTGCAGAGATTACAGCCTGGTCACCAGCTGAGTGAATAACTATTACTATATTTGAGTCATTTAAAACCAGAATAAAAACATACAGCTCAGGTTTCATATTTATGACTTTTTTAGGGCCACATTTTGAGAGAGAATAAAAAGAGATTTAGATTAGTTTATCAGTATGTGAATGAAGCCATTAGAGAGAAAAAAAAATGCAGATTTATTAAGATGAAGTCATTGGTAATATTACAAGCATACCTATGAACTACATTGTAAATAATGTCTGTAGATTAAACTACTAAAATCAGTCAAACTGCCTCGGTACCAAAAACTGTGATAGTTCACGGATAAACTTTTATTATCTATTATTTTTGAGAAGCTAATAAGGAGAAAAGCGATTTAAAATACAGACAAAAATGTTATTTCATGTAAAAACGTAATTCCCTAACCTGTATTTTATATTCATGCTGATATATGCTGCAACATTTCTTTAATTGGTGAAAACTTGAATTCATGTGGAGTTTGTATCGTATCAAACATCCTGAGCTCACAGTCTGTTCCAGTTAAATCACAACTTTAATCCCTTTCTCTTTCATATTTTAAATTCAATGTTTCAATCACTCTTTAAAAAAGATTATAAAACATTTTAAAAAACTGTGGCAAATATCTGCTGCCAATGTGAAACCTCCAATCTGAATTTGAAAGTCTGAATTTCAACCCAAATTGACCCCACAAGTCCAGAAAAATGCAGTTTTTCTGAAAATTACAAGATCTGAGTCACTTGTACAGAGTTTAAAAATGCAGTATTGACAGCCGTTATGGGTTAAAAACAAATAAGGGTAATAAAAATAAAGGATTTAAATAAATAGTTTCTTATCATCAAGATAAATAGAAGTCTAAAGACATTAATTAAAATGAGTAAAAGCTGAATAAAACAACAATAAAGCTGTTTTAGAATTAATAAAACTTCAAACTGGTAAATTTGGATTAAATTCAGATATTTACCGGTATAAATGAGACAAAAACACTTAAATTTGAGGTTTTTTTTTTCAGTGTTTCAAAGTTTTTAAACATCTTAAAAGTTTTTTAAATTCAGGGAGTTTGAAAGAGAGAAACAGCAGAGTTCAGAGTTTAGGGAGATAATCACTTTTTGTTTTTGGTTACTGGTAAAACGTTGGTTTCAAGCCTCTCTAAAATCAGGACGCCCTCCTTTATAAATCAAAACGTTTGTTTATCAAACAGATTAAATCACGTTTGATCCGCTGTCTCTAATCTTGACCATGTTTTTATTTCCTATCAGCAGACAATAAAGATTTTAAACCCTCTGAAACCTCTTTGTTGACTGGCCTGTGAGGTCTGTCTGGAACTCTGGACCCCGAGGCGCATCATAGACCTGCAGGACTGGCCTTTCTGGTACAGATTGCACCCTGTGGCCCCTAAGCATCCCCTCCTGGTCCTGTGATGGACAGAGGGGCAGAGACAGTGGGAGTCTGTCTCTCTGCTGGCTCCAAACTCATCCGACCTGCTGGACCTCACCCGCTCAGCTAAGACCTGTTTGGACCCCCAAGGCCATGCTGAGACACCCTGAGGGTATTTGAAAACCTGACCGCCCCGACCCCCCTGCCTCATTCAGGCTTTAAAAGGTGGTGACAACCAGCAGTTCCTCACTCAGTCCAAACCGAGCAGCATCATGACCTCCTTCTCCACCCGCAGCAGCTTCTCCCCCCTCAGGACCGCCGCCATCATGGGTCCTACCTCTTCCTCCTCTTCTTCCCGCCGGGTCGGCAGCTCAGGGGCTGGGAGCGTCTACGGAGGAGCCGGAGGCTCCGGGGTCAGAGTCTCCAAGGCCTCCTACAACTACTCCTCCAACCAGGCTGCCGGCAGCTCCTTTGACCTGGCCGATGCCGTGGACATCGCTGTCAGCGAGAAGGAGACCATGCACAACCTCAACGACCGCCTTGCCGTCTACCTGGACAAGGTGCGCAGCCTGGAGAAGGCCAACGGAGACCTGGAGCTGAAGATCAGACAGTTCCTGGAGGGCAGAGCCACACCTGAGGTCCACGACTACCGCAGCTTCACTGTACGGATCAAGGACTTGCAGGGAAAGGTGAGAGCGCACACTTGAACACCTGAACATCTTTTTAACTAAACACACAGCTAACTAAACACATAAACAACCAGAGTTAAAGTAACTGTTGAATCTAACAGCTGTTGGATCGGCTGTTCATTGGACAACTCTACCCTGAGTTCAGACTGTAAGGTAGCACACCTGAGCAGGTAGATCTCATCATGTTTAACCAATCAAGAGTCAGAGACAGAGCTGACAGGTGTTTCTTTAAATATCTAAACTAAAGAACAAAGTGTTGTCTGTCTTTGGACTGAAGTTTGTCAGAAAGTTTAAAAATAGGTCAGAGGAAGGAAATGTGCAAAATAACACGAGAAGGAGTGAAAAAAGCAGGAATAAAAGGAGAACAGATCAGGAAATAAATGTCTGGAAATTTAAGCCCTGGCTTAAACCAGTTGATTGACCGCTTGGCCTTGAATAGTTCAGGAAGAGCAGCTGGAGACAAATTCAGGTAAAAAAGAAAAGAGTCAAACTGATATTGAGAAAAAAGTCCCTAATCTGTCCTATTTTTACTTTATGAAAAACAAATCCATGAATTCAGACATTAATTTATCAACAAATTCATCTGAAATAACAGTTTTGAGATTTTGGCTTTCTCACCTTATGACCTCTGTAGACAGTGTTTTTTCAGTATTCATTAATCCTATTTTTATTTTAAGTAATTATCAGAAGAGTGAGGCAGCTGTTTCTCTGTTGGTTCAGTAAACTCTCCTGCTCAGTGTAAATAAAACAGGGTTAATGTTATATAACAGTCAAATATAACAGAGACGCTGTTGTTGACATGAAAACTTGAACATGTGACAGTTAACATGTAAATATGTTCATGTATGTTCAGCCCCCTCTATTATCAGACCTCAGGACATCATGTCTCTGTAAATATTTACTCTGAAGGATGTTTGACTTTTAGACAGTTCATGAGGACTGACAGGCGATTTTAAAGCAGAGGAACCTGTCTGACCATCACACAGGTGTATCTGTGTGCAGGGAGGGGGAGGGGCTAACAGGTAACTTTACCTGAGAGAGCAGAAAGGAAGATTATTGAATAAACTTAATTTCGCCTCTTTTTCAAGAATCACTCTGACTTCAGATTTCACTAAAATATTTTACTGTTTTTTTTTTCCAATTCAAAAAACATTTATTAAATATTTTAGTTTTAAAATTTTTGTTGAACTTTATTTCATAATAATCAGAAGAGTATGAGGAGTTTTTCTCTCTAAAAACGTGTCCTATAAAAGACAAATTTAGCTGTAAATTTAAGAAAAGTAACGCAGCTTTTAAGAGTTTTTAAGTTTTAAAAATTAACTTAAATTCTTTCTTTAGTAGCCTCAAATTAAAACCAGCTTCTTTCTTTATTGAAAGTTTTTGTATTGCATATTTTTGATAAGTTTTAGAGACCTTTTTTGTCTTTTGAATGAATGAAAGTTTATTGAAAGTCTTTTTAAGTCAGTTTATGAATAATATTGTATTTGATATGTATGTTATGTTTGAAAACACATCTGCAAAGTTATTTTGAAATTTTTGAAATTGCCAAAAAAGATTTTAAAATTCTACAAAAAATATTCTGGAGTCTGTAAAAAAACTTAGTTCAACTTCTGACTTTTTATCTGTAAAATAAAAAAAAAAGTTCGAACATCGGTTTGGCTGTTTGTAGCTCCCCCTGGTGGACACACAGATCCTTTGATATTTTGATAAAAAACTTAAGTCTGCCGATACAAAAAAACCTTTAGATGTTAACACATTTTTTTCTCCTGTCCTTCTTGTACAGATCCAGGTTGCTGCTCGTGGAAACGCAGCTCTCATTCTCGCCATCGACAATGCCAAGCTCGCCACAGATGACTTCAAAGTGAAGTGAGTAACCCCCAGTTTCCACCACATCCGGAACGGCTACCAAGAGGCTGTATCCGCCGATCGTAGCTAATCGTAACCATTCAAGTCAATGTGTCAATTTTCACCGTCTTCTTTCCGTTCTGCTGCGGATCGCCAGACTCTGCAGCTGATCACAAGAGTTCTTGAGACTCTGATTCATTGGAGGATAAAAACCAGACTGTGAAATAATCTGAACACCTCTGTCTATCTGTCCCTCACTTTATTTTCACTCTATTTTCAGGTACGAGAACGAGCTCGGCATGCGCCAGTCAGTGGAGGCTGACATCAGTGGGCTGAAGCGAGTCCGTGATGAGCTGACTCTCAGCCGTGGCGACCTTGAGATGCAGGTAGAAGGTCTGAAGGAGGAGCTGCTGCTGCTTAAGAGGAACCATGAGGAGGTGAGGATATTAAAGATGAATAGAGATGTAGAAAGCAAGAAAAAAAATAAGAGGCTAACAGGCTCCCCCTGCAGGATCTGCTGGCTCTGCGCGCTCAGGTGAAGTGCCAGGTCAATGTGGAGGTGGACGCCGCACCACAGGAAGACCTGGCCGCCGTCATGGATAGCATCAGACAACACTACGAGAACGTCGCCGCCAAGAACCGCAAAGACCTGGAGACCTGGTTCCAAGCAAAGGTAAGAGCACAGAATTATAATCACTACTGCCACCTGCTGGACAAACCTGACATATCATGAATCTTTGACATTAAATTGCGTTTTAATATTAAAATACTTCTGCAGGTCTAAACTCCTGATCAGTCCTGATATTCAAACACTAACTTTATTGATGGTTGTCCTTCATAGACGGCCGAGCTGAGCAAAGAGGTATCTGTGCGCTCGGAGACACTGACCAGCTCAAAGTCTGAGATCGGAGAAATCCGACGAACTGTCCAGACTCTGGAGATCAAACTGCAGGCTCAGATCAGCAAGGTGAGATGAGATGATTTTACCTTGAGTTTGGCTCAAGTTCATTGAATGAAAAGTATTTAATCTTTCTAGTATAAAACCAACATACCATAAGCATAGTCAGCATTAAGCCTCAAATGACCCAAACCTTTAACCTGGATCAGTAAATCAGTAAGTCAGTAAACCTGACTTTAATCTTTTCTCCCCCCGACAGAAAAGAGCTCTGGAGGTAACCCTGGAGGAGACCAAGAGCCGCTACGCTAACATGCTCACTGGCTACCAAAGGCAGGTTGTGGCTCTGGAGGAGCAGCTGACTCAGCTGAGGGCCGACCTGGAAAACCAGAAGGTTCTGTTTGTTGACCTGCTGGACATCAAGACCAGGCTGGAGCTGGAGATCGCAGAGTACAGGAGGTTGCTGGAGGGCGAGACTGAGAGGTGAGAGTCGGGGCACACTGACTGATACTGATACTAATACTAATCTATATGGACTAATCTGAATAATTAACTTATCTTATGTAGGTGTCCAACTTAGATAATCAAACTTTAATAGCTCATGGAAAAAGCTACCTCAGTGTGATAAAAGCTTAAAGTTTAGTAACCATGGTAACTATGTGCTGCCTTCAGCTCAGCCTGTTGGCGTGAAGATCTAATGACTACTAAAAAAACTTGTCAGATCTTCAAATATTAGTTCTATAAATGACCAGTAAAAAAGTGACATGGTGATGGTTCTTCATCCTGTCACTCTGCTCTAAGGTTTTTTGGACTCCATGAACTCTCACTGATCATATTTTGATTGATTTAAATAGCTGAAATACATTTTTTTCCCATCCTGTTTCTGCAGCACCACCACAACAACCAAAACCACCAGAGTCGTGACCATCGTGCAGGAGGTGGATGCTTCTGGAAACATTGTGAACTCCAGTTTGGACGAGAAAGAGAGGACCACCACAACCTCCAGCTAGAGATTAACGAAAAACTAGCATGTAGACACCTGCCAACCAGCAATATCAAGCATCCCTTTGAGACCATCAGCGTTAAAACCAGTTAACCATCTGTTAGTTAAATAAATCAGTTTAAGAGTCTGATTCAGAACAATATATGCTGTAAAACTGTCTTATTCTCTAATAAAACTCAGGTCGGCATCCTCTCTGTGACTACTGTGATTTCATTCCAGTGATTAAAACTCTAGTGGAGCAGACAAATGCATAATATAGCCCGAATCGTTCACTTTGTTATACAAGCATGAAATTTGGTACATATACTCTTCAAACCCCACTCTTTTCAAAAATAACGTTAGCCACGCAATATTCCAAGATGGCGGCCCCAAAATCCAAGATGTCCACCCCAAAAATGTGTTTTTTCCTTTATAACTCAAAATGACATGATTTTAAGCCCCATACATATATTGAAGTTGAATATAAAGTTGGGTATTGCGGACATTTTGGTACCTAGTACATTTCTGTATCCATTACGGTTCTTGAGATACAGCATATAGATACTTGTACAGAACTGGGAAAGTGAGAAATTTGTAACACCGATTGTTGTTACGTGCATATGTTTGTATGAAAATATCATTTCTATTATCTGTTATTTTCATGAGGGTTATAACATTAAATTTGAAAAACAAGATGGTGTCCAAGATGGCTGCCATTGCCTTGAAGTAATCCGATCTTAGTGACTATGAAACATTAACTTTTGGCGATTATTTCCTTATCTGCTCAGCTACTCTGTCCGTCTTAATTATGTCTTACAGTGATCAGTAGGGGAGACTGGGGTTGGTTGTCACGCTTTGTACACTCAGGTAAATTACTCATCCTGCAGCTAACACTCCTAAATTAGACTAAAGTTTGCATTCTGGGGTTGAAATGAGTACCCGTTTTATTCTTGTAGACGAATTCAACAATCAGACATCAACCCTCAAAGATGCTGCAACACAAGGGGGCATTCAGCACCGTCACAGGGTTAGTTGTCAGAGTTTTTATGGTTGATTGTCCCTTGAGTAATCAGCAGGGGGTGTGAATACAGAAACAGAAAGATTAAAAAAATAGTACTTGATTTTGTTTTAACTGTCCTCCAATGTTAGGGTCTGTACCGACCCGTTTTTGTTTTTAATTGCTTAAAAGAACCACATAAATTAGCTTTTTTGCATCAAGACTTTTTGACTTTGTCAGTAACCTCTAAATTAACACTAAATTATGAAATTCTCTTATTGAAATTATGACACTTGTCGTGTTAGGGTCGCTGTTGACCCAGTTAGTTTAAAAATCAATTATTAGAGCAAAAACTGAAATCATATGTGCACTGTCAGGCAACACACTGACAGTCAGATCCTCTTCCAATCGTGTGAAATTTAGAAAATTCTTATTTTACCTAGGTATACTAAAAAAGTTTGGCCCAGAGGACAACAAAAAAAATGTTATAAGCAATATTTTCATGGATAATGAAGCCTAACAAGGCAACCGAGAGATGAGAACCAAACTGGATGATAGAGAATTGTTTTTAGTGTAATTTGCAGCTGATTTAAGACACGGGTTGAAACCGACCCTTAACATAGTGGATGCGTAGTAAAAGCAAACAGAGGAGGAAGGTTAATAAGCTGAATTTCTATTCTTCTTGGTTGTAAATGAAGCCAAATCAGAAAGAAAATCCCTGTCTTCAAAACTGACTGTGTGTTTAATTCAAAGTTCATCTCTGTTTTGATTTATCACAACCTAACAAACCATCAGATTTGATCATCTCTGAGTATTTTATTCTTCAAGTGTAAACCATTAGTGAAATTCAATTTAAAACATTCGGACACAGTATTTTCAGTTCATCAGAAGCTTTTTATTGGCATGTTTCTGAGAACGGCCCACTTGTGGTGTGCAGTTGGATGTTTGGCACTTCACTCGGCCACTGAGACCTCAGAGCTGACTTCCTCTCCATCCACGACCTCTTTGGTGACGATCAGGATTTTCTTTGTGGTGGTGGTGGTGGTTTTGGTGGTGGAGGTCTGAGATCTGCAGAGACACAAAAACAAGTCAGAATCTACATGACAACCAATGCCTTCAAACTTGGTGTAGGTGATCAGGATGATGGATGGATTTGGAAAAACAGACATTGATTTTTAGCTGAATGTGAAACCAGAAACCTTCTATGGTTTAATATTAGAAAAATAAATAATGTATCTTTAAGTTATGTGTCACCAAATGCACCTTCAGGAGTCAGCTACCACCCTCACGATGCTCCTTCTAACCCAAATCACAAGTTCTTCCTGTACCTGACCCAACATTTCCCAAATTCAGGTTTCTGGTTGTTATGGGAACATGTTACATTGACGGTTTTTCTGTCTAAAGCAACCAGGGGACGCCATCATAGTAGATAAAGTCTAATATGGAAAGATGAACTCACGATGACAACTCTCCGTCGAGCAGCCTCCTGTATTCAGCAATTTCAAGTTCCAGCCTGGTCTTCATGTCCAGCAGCATCTGGTACTCCTGTCCCTGACGCTCCAGGTCGGCCCTCAGCTGGGCCAGCTGCTCCTCCAGTCTCATCACCTGGTTCTGGTACCCGGCCAGCGCCATGGCGTAACGGTTGTTAGTTTCGCCAAGAGTTGCTTCCAGAGAGGCTTTCTGCAGGAGGAGAGAGTAGGTGTCAGAGGATTTACAGACGTTATTGAGTCATGTGAAAATGAGGAGCAGAAAGAGTGAACCCACCATGCTGAGCTGAGACTGCAGCTCAATCTCCAAACTCTGCAGCGTGCGTTTGACCTCCGTGACCTCTGAGCGTGATGTTTGAAGTGTCTCTGTGCTGACCGCCACCTCCTTATTGACCTCTTCACTCTGTAAAAACACAAAGATTAAACATCAGAAACCATGTGTCTGTTTGACACTGTCCAGTGATTGAGCTGTATGCAGACGACACTCTGCTGTAAGACAGTTTTGCAGCTGAATCACATATCAGAGTGGATTTCTCTTGTGTTGTTTTTATAATCGGTCATACTTCTCCGGCTCACTGTTTTTGTTTTTAAATCAACTTTATGAATGAATTTAAACTGGACTGAAATCTGAGGGTTTACATTGCTCACCTTTGCCTGGAACCAGGCCTCCAGGTCTTTGCGGCTCTTGTTGGCGACAGATTCGTAGTGTTCTCTGATTCCAGCGATGACAGCGGTCAGGTCCGCCTGAGGAGCAGCGTCAACCTCCACATTCACCTGACCTCCCATCTGAGCCTTCATGGCCAGCAGGTCCTGCAGAGACACAAACACATAAGAGGATCAGACCTTGATGGGATAAACAAAGTTATCCATGTGAGTCCGAGCTAGTCCTGATTCTTTGGTCAGTTTTGGGTCTGTTTTTGCTGAGCTACAGAGGAGGCTTAGACTTTGACTGAAATGTAAACATGCCTAAATGACTCATACAATTAGAGTATTATAATCATCAAACCATCAACCCTTCCCAAGATGCCAAAGATTCTCATTGACTATTACCTCACCATAGACGCCACGTTTTACCAACTTCTCTTTAACAGAATTTCTTCTGTCATACAGACACTCTGATAAACCTTGACTCTATCCAATGTTGGTGTTCCTAACCACTTTTGTTTTCAAACCGTTTGTTTGTGATTGCAGTTCGTTTGCAGTGTGATGCTCACCTCCTCGTGATTCTTCTTGAGGAAGATCAGCTCCTCTCTCAGACCCTCGATCTGCATCTCCAGGTCGGATCTTCCCAAAGTCAGCTCATCCAGGACCCTCTTCAGCCCAGCAATGTCGGCCTCCACAGACTGACGCATGGCCAGCTCGTTCTCGTACCTGCACGCCGACAGACAACAGTCACACCAACTCTCTCATCTTAAACTACTGATGGTGTTTGAAACAGGAACAGGATACAGGTCTGAGAACTCTAGCTGGAGCAGAGGTCTGCAGATCTGGGGTCATGGATAACCAATCCTCACCCATAAATTTGCAAACTGGGTAAGTATAATTAATATTAAACTCTGAGGATGGATTATTAGCCTCATGAGACAGGGATGATGTTACCCTGAGGTATCAGAACTATATCTTCTAACCAGTCTTATCAAAGCTGTTTGTGATGAGCTTAGTTCTTCATACTCACTTAACCTTGAAGTCATCAGCAGCAAGTTTGGCATTGTCCACTGCCAGGTAGAGCATGCCGTTAGCACAGGTGGCATCTCTGATCTGAGAACAGAGGAAGAGTTTGATTGATCAGATTATCAGGGCTCTAAACACAGTCTGTTTGTACTGACAGTAAAACTCTCTGAAGCAGCAGGCAGTGGGGAGTTGCAGCAAGTTTGTCCAATTTATCATTAAACTCAAAGTTTCCTTTAACCTTAACATTTGCCTGTAACCTCTCTGCCCTGCTCACAGCTTCATGTTTCAGCTGCTCTCATAAAGAGAAGACATGGAAATACCAGTATGTTTCTCCTCATTGTTATAGATGCAAACTGAGAAATGCAGCTCAGGTGTCCTGCTGCAAGTGAGCTTCAGGGTGTGGTTGCACCTGTACAGAAGCACATCCTGCAGGAAACAATCGTCCTGTCTGCCTGTGCAACTGAACAGCTGAGTCTCACATGAAACTTTCCATTCTTTGTCAGATATATGAACACCTGAGTCTCACCTGAAACCTTCCATTCTTTGTCAGATTTATCATCCCCCCTGAGGGCGTAGTGCAACTTCAGTTTGAGTTAGCAATGATGTTTTTTCACTCTGATTTGCAGCCTGAACCCAAACCTTCAGCCTGAGCTTTCTGCAGCCTGAACTTTTATAAAAGGCAAACCAGCACACAGAACCGGCACCTGGTCTCACCTTCTCGTGCAGCCCGCTGATGGTGGCATTGAAGGCGCTGAAGTCGTGGCCCTGAGGTTTGACTTTGGTCTCCAGGAACTCTCTGATCTTCCTCTCCAGCTCAGCGTTGGCAGCTTCCAGGCTGCGCACCTTCTCCAGGTAGGATGCCAGGCGCTCGTTCAGGCTCTGCATGGCCACCCTCTTGTTGTCTGAGATGTCGATGGCATCGGCCAGGTTGAAGCCGCCCCCGGCCCCAGCTGCTGAAAACCCAGCCCCAGCCCCGGCTGCAGAAAACCCGGCACTGGCTCCAGAGGCAGAAAACCCACCTGAGGAGAAGCTTCTGGGGGCGCTAATGCTGGAGATGCGGGTCCCCGTGCCTCCGGCGCCGGCATGGACGCTGGGGGCCCTGCGAACTGAGTAGGCCATGAAAGACATGGTGGAGGTTTCTGTCTGCTCAGGATGGAGAGGAGAGAATGAGGGTGAGGTCGCACTCACTTCCTTTTATCCTCCCTGAATGTGAGGGAGGGGTGGAGGTCCAGCCCCTGCTCCATGCCTCAGGGCAAGACACTGAGGCGGGTCGAGCCTCATGACAAACAGACGAATCACAGCAGGAATGCAAAAAACACACATATCTGTTACACAACATCTATATAGTACCTGAGTTTACTCTCTGAGTGTTTATTCTGTTGAAGAAAGCCCTTCACCTTATCTCTGATCAGTCTGACACAGCTCACATACCTGAGGACCCTCAGCCCACCTGGATTCCTCTGCAGGCTCAGGCCTGTCTGTTGTCTCTAGGTGTTACTCTGGCCCTGCTGAGCCGTGCATCACTCCCACCCCCCACTCAATCCACTGCACTTGTGTGAGCAAACAATGAAATCTTTGTGGCAGCTTCTCCTTCAGCTTCTATTTGCTGTGACACAATACAAGGTCACACAATGAGGAGCTGTGCAACTACCATAAACACTGACCTGTATCCCTTATGAGAAACAAAGAGGCCAAGCCAGGAGGAGCTGAGCTGACCGAAACAGTCAGACTGCCCCCAGACTGAACCAGGTTATAACTGGGAACACCTTAACAGGGTTCAGTCAAAGTGAATAAAATGACCTGCTGAAACTTTGAAAGGAGATCACTGGTGTCATTTGTTGGACACTATAGCACACAGCTCTTTCCTGTCAAAATAAAACCCTGAGTGAGGAGCAGCTCTGCCTCTGTCTACTCTGCTCTCATCGTGTTGAAACAGGAGAGGGACAAACCGTTGACACAAAGTATGTGGACTGCCCACATAACTCTGCCTGTGGTAAAACATAAACTTGTCATATATATCAGAGAAACTGTGGCAGAGAAATTAGCTTGACGATGTCATAGAACATACATCTAAACTGACAGAGGAGCAAAACATGCAAAACAGAATCTCACCTAGTAAGAGGAGGAATGAATGGAGGGAGGAGCATGGACTGAAAATTACAACCCTCCTTTTAAGCCCTGTATGTCTTCAAACAGAAGACAACAAAAATGCGTTATAGGAACATGTTTGTCCAACAATGGTTCATTGTGACGTAAATTGCTGCTGCACTGTAAGAACATGCACTCTTAAAGACTTCCCCCTTCGTTCAGTCTCTGTTTTTGGGAGCTTTTTAAAACTTCAATGCTGTGAATAAGGATGTGGGTTTAGTCTGTGATTGTACTTAGTCATTTCTGCTGAGCAGAGCAAAAGCAACCTTTATGTATGAAGTGTTTATCACAAAGAAGATGTCACAGAGTGCTCCACAGGGACACAAGCCTGAGCTTCATCTTGAAAGATTCTGTCACCACCAGATTTTAAAGAGTGTCAGAGGCGCTGTTTATAATGTATCGTTTCAAAGCACCAGTAAATACCAGAAAAACGAGTTATTCATACTTACTGTTTCTGTGGGCCTGAAACGTTGGTCATCTAAACTGTAGTTCAGCGTCCCTCCACTAGCGGTAGCAGCAGCTCTGGTTTAGGGTTAGAACTGCGCGGGGTCCGCCACCCTCCGCCGCGTCCCCGGTGTACATAAAAATGGAGCCCCAGGGTTCCCCCAGGCAGGAGGAACCAGACAAACCTGTTCAACCAGCTTTACTGACAGGCGTAGAAAACTAGACGAAAAGAGCCATGTATAAATGGATGAATGACAGAGTGACAGAGTGACAGAGTTTGATGGATGGGTAGAAATTCAATCAGGTGATTCTCTGTTTAAACATGTTTTAACTAGTTTTTCATAGTTTGAATTCTGCAGCTTCTTTAACATCTTCATCACGTTGGTTCCCCGGGGTGTTGCTCTGTTTGGTGATCTCACTTTGACTTTTAGCAACTTCTCTGCAGGACTAAAGTGAAATTTCAATCCCCACATACTTTTGATGGAGAGGGGTCTATAATAAAATCTGTAAATGTGAGGACTGCTATGGACAGGGTCATGTATGATAAAGACAAGATGACAACGAGCCAAAAAAAACAACAACCCATGATTGATCACAAAAACTCAGATGAATATTGATTTTCCTCCTGTTACAATACCAAAATTTGTCGGGTGGACTGTCTTACAAGTAATATCCATATTTTCCGCACTGTGCAACCCGATCAAAATAAAATTAGTGCATCCCTGTAAGGGGCCAGCTGAGGGTTGCAGTGTTAACATGTTAACGTGGTCATTTATCTGCAAGTTCACTGCAGGTACAAACCCCCTCTGCCTTCATTTCTTTCTTTTTAACCTTCATTTATAAACTTTTCCTGATGCACACTTATAGTAAAGACCAAAACGAACCTACCAGGGCGTCGCCAGGTAAATACCTGACTTTTGACCTTTTTAGCTGCTGTTAATGTTAACATCCAAACCTTGTTTCTTCCCAGTTTGGATGCAAATTAAAGAGAAAATGTAGTCAGATGCTGTGCAGTTGTGATCGACTCTGAATCATCAAATATGAGCACACAATGAGCTGAGTGTGCCCAGAGGCGTCTCTTTGACCTAAAGGGACATTCCGGCGTAAGGTTAATTTTAGGGTCAAACACACCGTAACACAGAGTGAGACACCCCCTCGAGAGATGAATGTTGCCGACCGCTTGCTTCTCTGGTTAAACCAACTTTGGTAACGACCGCATGACAGCAATACACAGCAGTCTGAGGAGCCATAAACAAACCTCGACCAAAATGCCACTCTATAGCCACAAATAATGTTCAGAACAGCACCTACCTTCATCAACAGTACACAGCACTAGCCACCAAACATCTTTTTAACTTTGCTTAATTTTTTTAACAAAGAGACTAAACACAACGCACCTACTCTCTTCCAGCAGCCACTTGTTTGTAGCGAGACCTCAGGCCAGTCCAGTACAGACTGCTGGGGGGTGACACAGCTGAACATTTATGATCATTTCTTTATAATTTCCTTGAAGTAATAATCATCATTTTGCACTGTAGACGTGGTAGTTCTTGGTTCAATTGCATTAACATGATGAAATGATCATAAATGTTCTTACTTGAGCTGTGTCACCCCGCTGTAGTCCATAATGGACTTGCCCAAGGTCTCGCTACAAACAAGCGGCTGCTGGAAGACAGTAGGTGCGTTGTGTTTAGTCTCTTTGCTAAAGAAATTAGGCAAAGCTAAAAAGATGTTTGGTGGCTCGTACTATGACTGGGACCCAGATGTACGGTTGATGAAGTTAGCTGCTGTTTAGTTAGTTTATTTTTTTTTTTGTAGTGTGTTGTTAAGCGCTTTGGGTATCCTGAAAGGCGCTATATAAATGTAAGATATTATTATTATTATTATTATTATTATTATTATGAGCATTATTTGTGGCTATAGAGTGGCGTTTTGGTTGAGGTTTGTTTATGGCTCCTCAGACTGCTGTGTATTGCTATCCTGCGGTCATTACCAAAGTTGGTTTCACCAGAGAAGCAAGCTGTCGTCAACATTCATCTCTCAAGGGGGTGTCTAACTCTGTGTTATTGTGTGTTTGACCCTAAATTCATTTTTACGCCGGAATATCCCTTTAATGACATCAGGGGCTGAGTTCAGACCCCCCAGCCCAATTAAAGAAAAAAATAAAAACAGCTACTGGGTCCACAGAAAAACTGTTCTGGTAAAGATCAGTTTTAACAGGGACAGCAGGCTTTTTGGTTGACTAAAATTAGAAAAGGAAAAATGACTAAAGTGTGTCAAAAACTAAATAGCATTTTAGTGTGAAGACTAAATCTAAAAAATCTAATCAATCTAAAATTAACAGTTCTGTAGTTCCCAAAGCAACATTAATATGCTATTTCATAACTAGTTAAAGAGTCCCCACAACAGCTGTAAATAGTTCCAAATGTCTGAAAACAAAAACACAAAGCACGCCCAGACATCGTATTTGAATTAAAAAATACATTATCATTCTGTCTGTTCTGTCTGTAAAGCACTGCTTTAAATTGCTTTATCTGACAGGTGGAGGGCGCTCAATCCTCAGTCTCCACTGGTTTCTGTCATCAGTCCTTGTACCTTAGGCTTTTCATGTGCAAACGCACACACACACACACACACACACACACACACACACACACACACACACACACGTCAGTGAGTGCAGCTACAGTTCAGTATAGCACACATGTGTTATCCCTGTGGCAAAGAACACGCTCTAACATGTCTGTTTATGGAAATTCTGTGCAGAACCTTTAGTCGCTCATAAACTACCAGGTCAAGAGCAAATATGAGTTTACACCAGTATCCCTATATGTGCAATACAGCTTTATATGTAACTGGAACACTCAACTTCACACTTGAACTCTAATCCAGGTTTGTCTGAAACACCATCAAAGTCATCAGCTAGATCAGAGAATGTGGGTTTTTGTCAGGGTAGACCCATAGTTATGTGCTGTCGTATATATTTGGGTCTCATTCATGAAACGTTAGCAGAGAATTCCACTCCACCCAAAATGATTTCTTTTTCCGCAACTGAAAGTGTGTTTATTTTCTCCTCTCATTTCCTTCTCTTGGTGGTCCATGGGAAACACAGGTCCACACCTCCTTATATGGTGTTCAATGGCTATTCATGGACTGAGAGTTATGCTGATTAGTGGCTATAAGGAGCATGGTTACTGTACGATCAATTGGCATTCATTAACTATCATGAACTTACACTCATGTCCATGATCAAATCAGGGGTTTCCACAGTGCTCATGAATCTGGAGTAGTTTTTTTTTTTGTACCAGTGATGTTTACACAAAAATCTACGCATAAATTTATTAACCTTTCATAAATGAGACCCATTTTCAGAACATAATGCTATCTGTGTTGTTAGTTATCTGTAGTTTATTCAAATCAGGTAGACCCTGACGAATCAATATGGAAAATTTTTAGACTTTTGGTTCAGTCAATTGCTTACCTTTGATTTTGAGTATTAATGCAACACAATGGCCACTAGAGGACGCTGCTTGACTTCAATCATTAACTTGGATAAAATAATATCGTATTTCACAGATATTTAGCCACATTTCATGCTTGCTTACTAACGGCAGGTTGACTCAGGGTGTATTTTTGTCAGTCACACTTATTAAAGGGGGTATCATGCTTTCCACACTTACAACAAAAAAGTTTCAAATCAGAAGGTAAATGTATTTTGTTAGAAAGAGAGAAAGTAGATGTAAACTGCTCAAGCCTCATACAAACACGTAAAAATCCAGACCTTTGTTTATGTATGAGATTTACTTGAGTCTGACGTAAGAATTATAGACTCTCCTTACCGGTTGATTTGCAAAGTGGAATGGCCTGTCTCCATCAGCCTGTGATGTGACACCCACAGCAGAGCGGGGTAAACCATAGACATAATATGCACGTATAGTCTACATTTATGATGTTTATGGGGGTAATGATACTCCACTGCCCCTCTGCAGCTCTGCTGATCGACCACAATAGAGGGAGCAGGGCCAAAACAGTGAGCCTCCAGAGAGGTGGCCAATCAGAGGAAAGTATGCTTGTTTATAGATATAGATATAGACATAGATATATAGATAAAGATAGATAGAGATAGATGTTGTTCATATTCATGTTTATTTCTGTTAAGAATTTTTTAAATAAATGTGTTTGTGGCTTGCTGACCTTTTGTATCCAGCCCTAGTGGACACGTGAGGAACTGCAGGTTTTCATAACTTGCATTGTTTCTCCAGACTGGTTGGTTGCAGCTTAAATTGAAAAAAATTAAGACCTGCTGCTTTCACACAGAACTAAACACTTATTTTCTTAAATCATAGCAGTTTCGATGGCCACTGTAGGTTGCTGCGCCCCCTAAATTTTGACACGTGGTGTTAGACTGTCAGAATTAATTGAGTCATAATCACTGTGTGGACAAGCTCTGAGTTTTGTTTAACTAAGAAGATAACTTTTGTCACTTATTGTTTCTTGTTTGATTCCTGGTTCAGCTGTATCATTTGAGAAGCATTCTTACGTGTTTCATTCTTAATTTGAAAACTCATATACAGGTAAAGGCCTCTGCAACATTGATCTGCATTTTTTTTTTAATATTGCAGTTATCAGCCTGCAATTTTTTTATAGGATTAGTGAGTTTGAAGGATTGTGTAAAACAGAATAAACATGAGATGACTGATAAGTTTTAATCTTGGTGTTTAGAAATGTTATGTTCAATTTTTCAAACCTTTGATGGGAAGCTGATAGTGAACTGACTGGTCATTTTCACTTTATTTGCGAGTTTTGTTGTTGACTGGTTGGAACACAACAGCAAAGCCTAGTGGCTGTAAGGTGAACTGCACTTCAATTACTTTGAACAGAAGACAACAAGCAGTCTTTAGTTTTTAAGCTCCTCAGCAGACTTTTATTTGAACCTTTAGTTCTTTGACAGCTCCCTGGTGACCTCGGAGCTGCTGGAGCTGACCACCTTTCCATCCACTACCTCCTCCACGATCGTGATGACCTTCTGTTGGGTGATGGAGGTGGAGGTGGAGCCAGATGCGGAGCCAGTGCCTAAGCTTAAGCCTGCACCAGCACCAGCGCCGGAGCCAGAGCCGGACCCAGAGCCTGAGCCAGAGCCAGAGCCAGAGCTGGAGGACATCATGGTGGATGAGGAAACACTGGAGCTGATACCGGAGGAGCCGAAGCCAGAGCCAGAACCAGCGCCAAAGCCAGAGCCTGAGCCAGAGCTGCAGGAGGAGGACACAGACTTTAACTTATCTCATTTTAAACCAAGAGTCTCCCTGAAGCTGCTGCTGAGAGTGCAGGACAGATTTATACTAGAAAACAGAAATGATTTCTCTCATAATTAACGGGACTCTTTACCTTAAAATGAATCAAATGAAAACAGGTTTTTGTTGAAAGGAAGATCACAAATAATCCTGAAGACTCAGAAGACTTCAATCCTCCAAGTTAACCATTACTCACCCGCCGCCCTCTCCATCCAGCAGCCTCCTGTACTCTGCAATCTCCATCTCCAGTCTGGTCTTGATGTCCAGCAGCGCGTCGTACTCCTGGGACTGAGTCTCAATCTGTGCCTTCAGCTGGCACAGCTGCTCCTCCATCATGATCACCTGGAGAACAAGAAGAAGAATAGGAAAGAGTTTGGATTTCAAAGTTTAATCTGCAGTGACATCCTGAGCAGTAATATGTAACATCAAGCTCACCTGGTTCTGGTAACCTGACAGCTGCATGGCGTACCGGTTCTGTGTCTCAGCCAGAGTGGCCTCTAGTGAAGCTTTCTGCAGCAGAGAAGAGGAGCAAGTTCAGTTTATCATTTACAGCAGCTGGAGGAGGTAGAAGGTTTATGATGAATGGTGCTCACCATGCTAAGCTGTGACTGTAGCTCAATTTCCAGGGCCTGTAGAGTTCGCTTGAGTTCTGTGACCTCTGATTTGGACATTTGGGTGGATTCTGTGGCTTCAGCGACTTCTTTGTTCATTGCCTCTGTCTGTGCAGAGGACAAAGACAACAGCAGGGTCAAACAAACTGTGAGAATACTCAGAGACACTGATTTGATAATTCATAAAACTATAAAACTTCATCTCAATTGATCTTTCAAAATTATGATGTATGACAGTCTTCTTCATGTGGGATATTTGTATCTTTGGTATTTGAAAAGAGATCAATATATTCTTAATTTCACTGAAAAAAAAAACATCCTGAAACACAGCTGACCTTTGCTTGTGCCCAGGCGTCCAGCTCTTTGCGATTCTTGGCAGCGAGAGCTTCGTAGTACTCCCTCATCTCCTCCAGGATCGCGTTCAGGTCTGGTCCCTGGGCGGCATCCACCTCCACGTTCACCTGACCACTCATCTGAGTCTTCATGTTCATCAGATCCTGCAGACAGAAACAAAGATGAAGGCGACTGTTAATCCGAGGAAAAGTGACAAACTCTTTTGATTTAAAATATTGCCTCCTGGAGTCTGAACTGGATTAAAGAGATTCACCCACCTCCTCATGGTTCTTTTTGAGGAAGATCAGCTCCTCTTTCAGGCCCTCGATCTGCATCTCCAGGTCTGACCTGGCCATGGTCAGCTCGTCCAGGGCTCTCCTTAACCCGCCGATATCCGCCTCCACCGACTGGCGCATGGCAAGCTCGTTCTCATACCTGCACAAAGGAGCAAATCAGAAGCAGTTAGTAATGCTGTCTCTGGAGGGCTGTTTTTCTAAAACTAACACAAACTAACACATGAACAGAGAACATTAGCATGGAAGCTAACAGCACAGCTAATGGTTTTCTGCCTGGAAACAGCTGACGAATTACTGATAGATCTTCCTAAATGTTTTTAGGCTAACAGCAGAGTTCATGTCCTAACAATACTATCATAGGTATCTGTGTGCAGTTCCCTGACTGAGGAACATCAGGAAACAGCTAATAAGCGAATGAGCTAAATGAACTGATTCACTGACTTGAGCCTAAAGTCGTCTGCAGCCAGCTTGGCGTTGTCAATGGAGAGGTAGATGCCGGCGTTTACATTGGCAGCTTCCAGGATCTGAAAAATGAAAAGAGAGGAAGAAACATTCACTTTTTGATTTTTGGTCTTTGTTTTTGAAGCTTATGCCAAGAGTAACACATGGTAAACTATAGCTGTGTTACAAATACTCTTTTGTTTAAAATCGGACTGATCTACAGAGGTTTGAGCTGAAGCAGAAAAAAGCTATGCAGTTTTATTCCCATCTGACTTTATTCCAGCTCTACAGTTAGATGAATTTAACTGGTTTGTTCAGTTTGTGATGCTGAAATATTTGTTCAGACACCCAGGGATGTCTGTACTTTGGTCTTTTGTTCTTCCTCTCAGGGTGGAATAAACTTAAATCTGCTCTTTTTTTTAGTTCTTGTTGGACCAGATCAGAGAACAACATGCCTGATAATAACCAATGAGAGGAGACAGCTGTCAAGCCGACAGTACATATTTTATCACTTCTGTCTGCACAACCCACATTTGCAGACTGTAGTTAAACATCTCACTTTGAAATGAACAGCTTTGACCGTGTGCATAAAGAGTTAACGTTTCTTTCGACTGAAAGAAGTGAAAACTTCACTCTTCACTCTCAGAGGTCACATGACAACAATTCAGCCTATCAGGAGGATGGACCTACCTTTCCCTGCAGTTCTTCGATGGTGGCGTAGTAGGCACTGTAGTCTCTGGAGGAGGGGGATGACTTCTGGTCCAGGAACTCTCTGATCTTCCTCTCCAGCTCTGCGTTGGCTGCCTCCAGGTTGCGCACCTTCTCCAGGTAAGTTGCCAGACGGTCGTTCAGGTTCTGCATGGTGGCCTTCTCATTGGCGGAGACGTCCATTTCCATACCACCACCGCCACCACCACCGCCACCACCAGCACCAAAGGAGAAGCCAGAACCTCTACCACCTCCGACTGCAGCAGCCATACCTCCGAGGTATGCAAAGCCACCTCCACCACCTCTGGCACCTCCACCACCTCCACCAGCGCTGTACATGGACATGGAGCTGCCACCAGAGATCCTGACTGATCCTGATCCAGCTCCACTTCCATACATGGAGGCAGAGCTGCCAAATCTTCGGTTATTCATGGTGATTAAGAGGAGAAGGCTGTCTTTCTGCTTCAGCTGAGGAGAGGAGACAGTGTGAAGCTCTCAGAGACAGAGATGTTTTATAGTGTTAGAAGAGCTGCAGAGGAGGAGGAGGAGACACCTGTCCTGGTTTCACTCTAAGGAGGGTTGATGGGTTGAAGGTGTGTCTGAGAAAGAGGAATCCACCCGTCATCAGTGTGTTCACCTGTTAATGTACACTCAGCCCCAATCAGAGTTGAAAGCTCACGCAGAGCTGCAGGCAAGTTCAGACCTGGGTGACATTAACATTCAGAGATCAGTCAGTGCATAAAAAAAAACAAAAAAAAAAACACATCCAATCAATCAGCAGGTACGGAGTGACTGACCTCACCTGAGCAGCTGCTTTCTCAGCCTCATGACTAGAGGGTTAGGTATTGTGGGCTGCAGGTTGTTGTGGTGGCACTCATGAGCCAAAAAGGATAAGAGAGTACAGAGAGTTTTGATGAATCACAATCTTTGTCAGTTGAGTAATCCCAAGTAAACAAAACTGAGACTGGGGTTTGAGACTGGGCTGAGTTTGTCATATAGTCAAATATCAGGACAGGATGCTATTCAAACAAAAAAGTGTTTAAGAGCCAACGGACTAATCTCTCTGCACAGAGGATTTCAGAAAACAGCAGAGATTAAGAGAGGTTATTGAGCTGTAAGGTGTGGTGCTACGGTTCATGCAGAAACTAAATCATTACAGGATTCATGACAGACAGAAAACTATTCCGTACTAAGTGTTCGCCAAGACTCAACGTGTTTGAGCTGTCAGTTTCTTTAAAGACTGCCGGATGATTTCACTGGAACATGAGAAATAAGGATCCAGGGATCCAGAAACATTTGCTGATCTAAATCCAGAGATCCAGAGATGTGTGCTGGTTCCGGTGGAAAAAGGTTATCCAGCATGTAGACAGGGACAGGAGTCAGGCCCAGTTTAAAAAAACACAGGCTCTGAGATAGACCGGACACCTGACCAAGGTGTAACCCTGCCTCTCACCCAATGACAGCTGGGAAAGGCTCCACCCTCTGAAGACCCCAAAAAGAGAGATCTGTAAAACTGATGGATGGATGGATGATGGGAGGTAGGGTGGTAAAACATTTAATGAATAGGCAGGAGAAGAATAAAAGGATTAACAATTGGATGGGTAGATAAATGGCAGGATGGATGGATTGATGGAAGGATGGAGGAAAAAAAGGAGCATTTTTTTTAATGTTTGGAAAGAGGTAGACCCTCTGTGTGACAGACTCTAAGATCTGACACCTTAAAAGAGACAAAACTCCTATTCTATATAACTGTGAAGTTTCACTGTTTGAAATAAAGAAAACATTGCTTTATCAAAAAAAATGAAATAAAAAATAACTACCCACCTCTTTATAGAGAATGTTTCTTGCAGTCTAGATACTCACTGTTGTCTTAAGAAAGAAAAAACAATCTGTCCTAAAAAAGAGGGCTGTCTCATCATCAGGTGGTCTGATACATTGGGTCAGCACTAAAATAAAATGGTGTAAAGATGAGCTTTTCAGACCAAATAGTGTAATTATATCAAGGTAAGTCTGCTGTAAATACAGGCTGTTCAAATGGGAGTTTAGATTCTTAGGCTTTAAAGCCAGCCTCTAGTGGACACTAAAGGAACTGCAGGTTTAACACTACAATGTGATGGTAGAGAGTCTGCAAGCAGTCTATGCAGCATGATTAGAGGTGAATGGATGAATGTTGAGTGAAAACTGGTGTTAATGAGTGAATGAGATGTAAATATTAAGTGGATGGAAGATTGTGGTGTAATTTGGTAAATGTGCTGTAAATATAGAGTGAATAGGTGAATGTAGTGTGAGTGGGTGAAAGAGGTATGAATGGGTGATTGATTTGTAAATGAGGTGTGAGTAGGTAATTGCTGTGTAAATGGGTAACTGTATTGTGTATTGGTAACTATGGTGCGAATGATCAAATATGGTGTAAGTGTGATTGGTTAAAAAGATGTGTGAGTATGATGTTATTGTGGTGTTGATGTTATGTCATCAGGTAAATGAGGTGTGACTGTTGAGTGAATAGGAGATGGTGGTGTGAATGGGTAAAAGGGGATGTGAATAGGTGAATGAGATGTGAATGGGCTTCTGATGGGTGACTTGATGAATGTGCTGTGAATGGGTAAATGAGGTATGAGTCTGTAAATGAGGTATTAATGAGTGAATGATTTGTAAATGAGGTGTGAATAAGAAATTGCAGTGTAAGTGGGTGACTGTATTGCAGATAGGTAATTGTGGTGTGCATGTGAAGAAAGTGTGAATGAAGTTTGATTGGGTAAAAGTGGTATGAATGTGTGAATGTGGAGCTTATATAGTGTTAATGTAATGTAAATGGGTTAAATTGTGTCAATGTCTGAATGAGACGTGACATGGTAAGTTTAATGTAAATGGATGAATGAAGTGTGACTGGATGAATGAGACACTAAGTGTGGAGAAGGATGGGGTGATCAGATTTCTGTTAAAGGCAGTTAAAAATAGTCTAATGAATTAAAACCGGTTTACAAGATGTGGTTAAAACATGTAAGGCCATTATTTTTAATAAATCTTTCTGAATGTGAGGATCACATACCTGTCAGAGGACAAGGGAATAAAGCTCCCCACACTCATGAAGAGCTTTGATATAATTCATGATGACCTTCAGAAACAATTATATCTAATCTTTAAGGTGCAGTCCTGAAGAACCAGATATAAACCAGTTATGTTACATGTCCGAGTATAAGCCTTAGCTAATCCAGACTGCACACTCACATGTGATGCTTTTATTATGAAAACCATGTGGTTGTTTTATTTCTGTATGGATGCACATGCGTATATCCTTGTAACGTGGATTCATACATATTTATTATTATCAATGACTGAATCCTCCAGTGATTTATTATTGTTAATTTCTTGGAGTCAACCAATATTTTTTATTTTCAGGGCTGATAATACCTTTCCATTATCATGAGGCTGATCACTGATATCACTGGGGCAGCAGTAGCTCAGGAGGTAGAGCGGTCATCCAGTAACTGGAAGGTTGGCGGTTCGATTCCCTACTATCCAAAGTCTGTCCGTTGTGTCCTTGGGCAAGACGCTTAACCCACCTTGCTCCCAGTGTGTGTCTTCCACTGGTCTATGATTGTGAGTGTTGGTCGGAGAGGCCGGAGGCGCAAAATGGCAGCCACGTTTCCGTCAGTCTGACACAGGGCAGCTGTGACCACTAAGGTAGTTTACCACCACCAAGGTGCGATATATCCAAAGTAAAGCGCTTTGAGGGTCTCTGATAAAGCGCGATATGCATTATCTGATGCATTATTATATCTCAAACAGATTTGCAGAGACAGTGAAAATGGGGGCTTTTGTCCAAATTTTTAACAACACAAAACTCTTAATGCTTTTAGTAAATGTTCAATCAAAGCTATATTCTCCATCCTGTGGGGTGTACAGGAATGTAGTGTAACCATGGCAGAATAGTGCCATCTGCTGGGGATACAGCATAGCATCAGAAGTTACTTAGACGGTGTTTTGTTCGCATGCCAGTTGGACAATAAATGTGTTTACTGAGAAGCACGCTGTTCTGAGCTTCTGACACAAACATAACATTTGCAAGAAGGAGTAAAAAATCCAATCCAAGAGGGTTGACAGGAGCACCATTGTTTTGGAGAAGTGAAGAAGAAGACGAATGGTAACAACCTAGCTATGCTAAACTAAGCTAAGCAAAGACACTCATGGACACGTAAAGATCAACTCCAGAGCAACTATGGCAGTAATTACCGCTGCCCTTCCACCTTTTGACACAGAAATGGACCCTGCCTCTGTCAGGCCTCACTAGTATAAATATTTGCAAATGTTTGAGAATTACACCACTGCAAAAAGCACAAGTGGAGATGCTAGGCTCAAAGCACTGCTATTACACATAGCCGGAGAACATGCACATGAGATACAGTATATGCCACTTAAGCCGCAGCGGACGATAAGTATGCAGACACAAAGCAAAAGTTGTCTGTCTATTTTTCTCGCAAGAAAAATAGTCAGTATCAAATATACATTTTTAGAAAAGCAGTTTAAATGCCTAAATAAAATTGTAACGGCTTTCACACCAGGTTGAGAATGTTAGCTAAGAACCATGATTTTGCAAATGCTGAAGAAGAAATAAAAACGCAAATCATACAAAGCTGTGCATCATCAAGACATTGTAGAAAAGCACAGAGAAAGTAGACTTGCATCTATATCAGCTCCTTGACCACGGACAAACTCTAGAACTGTCTGAAATGCAGGCAACTGGAATTAAAAAAAGGCACATCAGCAACTGTCAACTTAGTACGTCAAAAGAGTGCAACAAAGCGACTAGATGACAACAAAAGGTCCAAAAGAGAACATCCAAATGATCACTGCAGGAAGGTAATTATCCCCATGATTTTGAATGCCCTGCTAAGAGTAGGCAATGCAGAACCTGTGGCAAGCAGAATCCTTTTGCAAAGCACACATACAAAAAAAGATCACAAAGCAAAGTGAACAGGTAACCAAAACAAGTCTTTTACATAACTGAGACTGCTCCAGATGAGAAAACAAGAGTACAGCTCTCAAGCAGTGATGATGCTTACTTTTTTGAAGTTGATGCTCAGTGTTTCTCCTACATTCATTCTGCTGTAGTACTGCGGCTGCACTTTCACATGATCATTAATATCAGTGCGCCACTAATGATTTTCTACTTGCACTGTGTGAGCACAACAACACACTGTGTTATTTTCAACTTGAGTCATCAATGGGCACATTAAATCCTGTCAGACCCTCTTCCAACAACGTGAAATGTAACATTCAAGCTTATACATAGTCTATGTAGTGAGTAGCATTCATACCATTAGTAGCATTAATATCAATGAGTAGTGCCCCCAAATGTTTGCCACCACATTTGTTGTTATATTAAATAATTGACTGAACTTAGTTTAATAAGCACTTTGTCTGATAATTGAGGCAAGTATTATTTTACATTTATGAGATGGGTTCCTGGGTGAATTTTGGTGAGTGAAGGAGAGACATGGTAAGCGGAACCTTTGTCACTGTAGTCGTGCATCCAGGTTGCCTTTAAAGTACGGACTTCCTATCTCCGCTTCAGACGCAACCTGGAGAAAGGTACGAGTGCTTGTGTCTCTTCTTGCTCTGAGACTCTACCATTATTCTACAGGTAAGTAGTGGCTGAAATCGCTATCAAGCAAAGCTTAGAGTTTCGTGTTAATTATATAAGTGACAGATAGTAATTTTCGGTTAAATGTCGTGACTTGAGAGTAAGTTTATCGAGCCGCGGCAAGTAAGGGCGGTAAAGCTAGCCGCGCTGCGCCGATAGTCTCGCGTGATTTTAATGTGTTATCGCGAGAGTTTGCCAGCTCGCGCTAAATACTTTATTCACTCACACTACCCTCTATGTTAGTTTTAATTCACTTACTGTATCGCTCCAATTTATTTCACAAGCCTCCTGATGTGGCCTAATGTGTTTGTTGGTTCCAGAATGTTCTATTTGTTGGGTTTATTTTGTTTAAATAGTCATGTTAAGCTTATTAAAATACTGTCTAAGGTGCAATGTCCACATATGATTAAGTCTTAGCATTTATATAAGAACATGGATGATTAATCATGAGCTATGCACCATTATCCTGGAAGTCAATGAAAGATTAAAGGTGCCATATTGCCACAGATGCATATTAAAAGAAATTTTACGTGTTCAGAGCTTCATGTCTGTAAAGGACTAGGAAATGCACTAAATGTAAAACATACAAAGTTGAAATTAAAGAGATGCAATCTGGAGAAAGGTATGAGTGCTTCCATTTCTTCTTGCTCTGAGACTCATACTTTATTTTACAGATCGCATCCTTTTTGTTATAGTGGTCACTGTGCCTGGGACCTGTAACAAATGCACCACGAATGATTTGCTACTTGCACTGTGTGAGCACAACAACACACGGCGTTATTTTCGACTGGAGTCATCAACGAGCGCATCAAATCCGGTCAGACTCTCTTCCATCAACGTGAAAGGTAACGTTCCAGACAGTGGGGGTAACAGCGAAAAGCACCTCTGCTGAAAAAAATTGTGGGGAAGACACTGATGCTAAATAAATCTCAGCACTGTCACAAACCCATTTAAAGCCTAATGCATAGCTGCCAATGCTCACGTATTGGCTATGAGATACACACTTTTCATTGGTGTCATATGCTTACACACCCCACTCCCACTTTCTCATGCTGAAGTGTCCATCTTCACCAAAAAAAAAAAAAAGGGTTGGGCGGTAATAAGGTATACCAGCAGTGTCTTTCAAAAGCAACGGTCTGATTACACATGCTTTGTGAATTTGTGTGTTTACAAGGAGATGTTCCAGACTTGGAGCCAAATTAACTAAATTAAAGAGATTTTAGTAAACCCAGAACATAGATCATGCACCCTAACATACTTTCCTTTAATCTGCTTTTTGGTTTCAGACTGTCAGACACACTTAACACATATATTAACGCACTCCTGTAGCTGTATCAGACTGTGTTCAAGTTAGAACCTCCAGATTTGGCTAAAACCCCCAAAGTCAGGTACAACTTCCAGAGTCAGGTAGAAACTAAAGGTTTTCAGCACCTGACAGTTTAATCTGTTTGAAAAGAGACACAAACAGGAAACAAAATCATGGGTGTTTTTTGGAAGGTTGGTGGAGAAGCACAAGGTTTGGCAAAGTGAAGGACATTTTTGGAGTCAAAGGTGTTCACGTGTTTCTTTTGTAGGTCATGAGTATCGTCCAATCATTATCAGTCTGTTCTGGCCATAGACTGTATATAGAATGGACAGCGTCTTCCTCCTTGCTGGGTGAAGCCACTCCGAGAACAGCACCCTCTGTTGACGGGCTGCAGTATAGGTCACAAATCCCGCCTCCACCAGCAAAGCTTATTGGGCTGTGGACAAACTTTTCATAAATTTTTCTCCCCCCTGCTTGAGATGTTGACATGTAGTTACAGTAAGACTGGTTTGTGCTCAAGTCCTCTTTTTTTCTGTGAAGCTCCATTTTTAAAAGTTATTAGGGGGTTCATGTTTTCTTTGATTGACACCTGATACAGCCTATGGGCGTTCAGGGATTGCGTCACTTACCTGGAGGATACGCTGTTTGAGCCGAGCATCATCACAGGGACTCTCTGTGACTCTCCCGCCGAATGCACACATAGCTACTGCGCAGCGCTTGTTTCAGGAAATTAAGAAAAATCCTGGAAATACTGAGAGCTTTTTGACTTCAAATCTGTATACAGGTGGTAGGCAGAACCAAGTTGTCCACAGTATATACAGTCTGTGGTTCTGGCTGTCAGCCTGAAAACAGTCCACACAGAGAGCTCTCAAGCTGAAATGCATGACTGTAATCTCAGGTCTTCATTTAGCTTTGAGTTTCCTTTACCAGTTACAAGCATGAACTGCAGCTCACTGTTGGGTCTCAAACATCATCTCTCCTTAGACTTCATGCTCAGAACTCTGACTGTTGGTCCTACATTGTGAAGAACTGAGGTTTAAAAAGTCTTTGCCTGGATTCACTCTCACTTAATCTGGACAGCCTCAGGGGGCATTGAGACCTAAAATACTTACCTTTCCCCTTGGAGGATGTGCAGTCCCTTTTTCTGAGGAGCTTTAGAGCATTTAAGGGTTTAATTTCAGCTTCAAACATTTTGAAACATTGACCTTTAAAAGTCTAAATCTGACTGATTTCTGCTGAATAATCAGCAGGATTGCGTGTGATGACAGAGTAACACGGGAGGCCATAAACTCAGTAGTTACATTCGCAGAAAGGCACCCTGCAGCATTGTCGGTCAATACTTTAATGATTAAGGTGGAATGTGTTTTGGTGTGGCTCTGTGGCATTCTGCTGCAGGCTTGTTCACATCGCCAGCATTTGCTTGCCGAATGCAGAGAAAACTGAGAGGTTTGTACAACTCCCTCTCTCTCTGCTCTTCATAGTAACTACAGGTGAAAATTTTACTTTACTTGGATTCAGACAATGCTCAACGTGTGTTTAAGAGGTTTGTTCAGCTGAGTTATTTGGCTCTGAAGAGGGAAATCTAAACAGCATGTTCAGACTGACAGCAGGTCAGGGTGGGTGAAGGCCTGATTCAGGTATCTTCTCACTTTATTATAAAACGTATTCATATTTTAAAGAAGATATTTGTTCTCCAGACCCTCAGCTGGAAGGTTGGAGGTGCTAATCCAAATCACACACACAGATGCATTTCAACACTAGGGACTCTCTTCAGGAATCAGAAACCTGCATTTTGCAGTCCCTTATTCGGATAACATGGTGGCAAATGTAAAGGCCTCTGCAATATTTTTTGAAATATTGCAGTTATCTGCCTGCTATCCTTTCATAAGATTAGTGAGTTCTAAGCTTTATGTGAAACAGAAAAAACATGAAAAAAAGAGATGATTAATAAAATTTAATCTTGGTGTTTAGAAATCTCTTGTCTTTAATTTTTAATCCTAGCCTAGTCTAGTGGCTTAAAGATGAACTGCACTTCAATCACTTTAGACAGAAGACAACAGGCAGTCTTTAGTTATTAAGCTCCTCAGCAGACTTTTATTTGAACCTTTATTTCATTGACAGCTGAGTAAGAGCGCCCCCTGGTGGGGATCACAGCTCCTTGGTGATCTCAGAGCTGCTGGAGCTGACCACCTTTCCGTCCACTAGCTCTTCCGTGATGGTGATGACCTTCTGTTTGGTGATGGTGGTGGAGACGGGGGGAGATACAACGGTGACGCTGGTGGAGCCAGAGCCAAAGCCTGAGCCTGAGCTGGAGGACATGATGGTGGATGAGGAATGACTGGAGCTGATACCGGAAGAGCCAAAGCCAGAACCCAAGCTGCGAGAGGAGGACACAGACTTTTACTTATCTCGTTTTAAACCAAGAGTCTCCCTGAAGCTGCTGCTGAGAGTGCAGGACAGATTTATACTAGAAAACAGAAATGATTTCTCTCATACTTACAGATCTTTGATGAAAGGAAGATCACAAATAATCCTTAAGACTCAGAGGACTTCATTCCTCCAAGTTAACCATTACTCACCCGCCTCCCTCTCCATCCATCAGCCTCCTGTACTCTGCAGTCTCCATCTCCAATCTGGTCTTGATGTTCAGCAGCACCTCGTACTCCTGGGACTGAGTCTCCAGCTGTGCCTGCAGCCGGCACAGCTGCTTCTCCAACATATTCATCTGGAGAACAGGTGACTAAGATGGCAGGTTGCCTCAGGGTGTATTTTTGTCAGTCACACTCCTTAAGGGGTGGTATCATGCTTTCCACATTTACAACAAAAAAGTTTGGTGTCCATACTTCATGTATGCAAAGTTTCAAATCATAAGGTAAACGTATTTTGTTAGAAAGAGAGAAAGTAGATGTAAACTGCTCAAACCTCGTACAAACACGTAAAAACCCAGACCTGAGTTTAGGTATGAGATTTACTTGAGTCTGACGTAAGAATTATAGACTCTCCTTACCGGTTGATTTGCAAAGTGGAATGGCCTGTCTCCATCAGCCTGTGATGTGACACCCACAGCAGAGCGGGGTAACCATAGACATAATATGCACGTATAGTTTACATATATGATGTCTATGGGGGTAATGAGACTCCGCTGCACCTCTGCAGCTCTGCTGATCGACCACAATAGAGGGAGCAGGGCCAAAACAATGAGCCTCCAGAGAGGTGGCCAATCAGAAGAAAGTATGCTTGTTTATATAGATAGATATAGACATAGATATATAGATAAAGATAGACAGAGATAGATGTTGTTCATGTTCATGTTTATTTCTGTTAAGAATTTTTAAATGAATGCGTATGTGGCTTGCTGACCTTTTGTATCCAGCCCTAGTGGACACGTGAGGAACTGCAGGTTTTCATAACTTGCATTGTTTCTCCAGACTGGTTGGTTGCAGCTTAAATTGAAAAAAATTAAGACCTGCTGCTTTCACACAGAACTAAACACTTTTTTTCTTGAATCATAGCAGTTTCGATGGCCACTGTAGGTTGCTGCGCCCCCTAAATTTTGACACGTGGTGTTAGACTGTCAGAATTCATTGAGTCATAATCATTGTGTGGACAAGCTCTGAGTTTTGGTTAGATAACTTTTTTCACTTATTGTTTCTTGTTTGATTCCTGGTTCAGCTGTATCATTTGAGAAGCATTCTTATGTGGAAAGTGTAGAGGAAAATGGATTTGAAAACTCATATACAGGTAAAGGCCTCTGCAACATTGATCTGCATTTTTTTTTTAATATTGCAGTTATCAGCCTGCAATTTTTTTATAGAATTAGTAAGTTTGAAGCATTGTGTAAAACAGAATAAACATGAGATGACTGATAAATTTTAATCTTGGTGTTTAGAAATGTTATGTTATTTTTCAAACCTTTGATGGAAAGCTGATAATGAACTGACCGGTCATTTTCACTTTATTTGCGAGTTTTGTTGTTGACTGGTTGGAACACAACAGCAAGGCCTAGTGGCTGTAAGGTGAACTGCACTTCAATTACTTCGGACAGAAGACAACAAGCAGTCTTTAGTTTTTAAGCTCCACAGCAGACTTTTATTTGAACCTTTATTTCATTGACAGCTGAGTAAGAGCGCCCCCTGGAGGGGATCACAGCTCCTTGGTGACCTCGGAGCTGGTGGAGCTGACCACCTTTCCATCCACTACCTCCTCCACGATCGTGATGACCTTCTGTTTGGTGATGGAGGTGGAGGTGGAGCCAGATCGGGAGCCTGAGCCTGAGCCTGAGCCTGCACCAGCACCAGCGCGGGACCCAGAGCCGGACCCAGAGCCGGACCCAGAGCCGGACCCAGAGCCGAACCCTGAGCTGGACCCAGAGCCTGAGCCAGAGCCTGAGCCTGAGCTGGAGGATCTCATGGTGGATGAGGAAAGACTGGAGCTGATACCGGAAGAGCCGAAGCCAGAGCCAGAGCCAGAGCCAGAGCTGCAGGAGGAGGACACAGACTTAAACTTATCTCATTTTAAACCAAGAGTCTCCCTTAAGCTGCTGCTGAGAGTGCAGGACAGATTTATACTAGAAAACAGAAATGATTTCTCTCATAATTAACGGGACTCTATACCTTAAAATCATCAAATGAAAACAGATCTTTGATGAAAGGAAGATCACAAATAATCCTGAAGTTTCGGAGGACTTTAATTCTCCAAGTTAACCATTACTCACCCGCCTCCTTCTCCATCCAGCAGCCTCCTGTACTCTGCAATCTCCATCTCCAATCTGGTCTTGATGTCCAGCAGCGCGTCGTACTCCTGGGACTGAGTCTCAATCTGTGCCTTCAGCTGGCACAGCTGCTCCTCCATCATGGTCACCTGGAGAACAAGAAGAAGAATAGGAAAGAGTTTGGATTTCAAAGTTTAATCTGCTGTGACATCCTGAGCAGTAATATGTAACATCAAGCTCACCTGGTTCTGGTAACCTGCCAGCTGCATGGCATACCGGTTGTTTGTGTCGGCCAGAGTTCCCTCGAGTGAAGCTTTCTGCAGCAGAGAAGAGGAGCAGGTTCAGTTTATCATTTACAGCAGCTGGAGGAGGTAGAAGGTTTATGATGAATGATGCTCACCATGCTTAGCTGTGACTGTAGCTCAATTTCCAGGCCCTGTAGAACTCGCCTGAGTTCCGTGACCTCTGATTTGGATATTGAGGAGGATCCTGTAACGTCTTCTACTTCTTTGTTCAGTGCCTCTATCTGTGCAGAGGACAAAGACAACAGCAAGGTCAAACAAACTGTGAGAATACTCAGAGACACTGATTTGAAAATTCATAAAGCTATAAAACTTCATCTCAATTGATCCTTAAGTGAGAAACTCTGAAAGCAACAGGCTGTTCTTCTTCATGGGGATATTTGTATCTTTGGTATTTGAAAATAGATCAATATATTCTTATTTTCACTGAGAGAAAAAAACATCCTGAAATACAGCTGACCTTTGCTTGTGCCCAGGCGTCCAGCTCTTTGCGGTTCTTTTCAGCGAGAGCTTCGTAGTGCTCCCTCATCTCCTCCAGGATCGCGTTCAGGTCTGGTCCTTGGGCAGCATCCACCTCCACGTTCACCTGACCACTCATCTGAGTCTTCATGTTCATCAGATCCTGCAGACAGAAGCAAAAATGGAGGTGACTGTTGGGCCGAGGAAAAGTGACAAACTCTATTGATTTAAAGTATTGCCTCCTGGAGTCTGAACTGGATTAAAGAGATTCACCCACCTCCTCATGGTTCTTTTTGAGGAAGATAATCTCCTCTTTCAGGCCCTCGATCTGCATCTCCAGGTCTGACCTGGCCATGGTCAGCTCGTCCAGGGCTCTCCTCAGCCCGGCGATATCCGCTTCCACCGACATGCGCATGGCAAGCTCGTTCTCGTACCTGCACAAAGGAGTGAGTCAGAAGGAGTCAGTCAAACAGTTTTTAAGGGGGCTGTTTTTTTTATCTAAAACTAACACAAACTAACAAACTAACACATGCACAGAGAACATCAGCATGGAAGCTAACAGGACAGCTAATGGTTTTCTGCCTGGAAACAGCTGGAGACTTACTGATAGGTCTTCCTAAATGTTTTTAGGCTAACAGCAGAGTTCATGTCTTTATAATACTGTCAGTGCAGTTCCCTGACTGAGACACATCAGGAAACAGCTAATAAGCAAATGAGCTAAATGAACTGATTGACTGACTTGATTCTGAAGTCGTCTGCAGCCAGCTTGGCGTTGTCAATGGAGAGGTAGATGCCTGCATTTACATTGGTAGCTTCCAGGATCTGAAAAATGAAAAGAGAGGAAGAAACATTCACTTTTTGATTTTTGTTTTTTGTTTTTGAAGCTTGTGCCAAGAGTAACACAAGGTAAACTATAGCTGTGTTACAAATACTCTTTTGTTTCAAATCAGACTGATCTACAGAGGTTTGAGCTGAAGCAGAAAAAAGCTATGCAGTTTTATTCCCATCTGACTTTATTCCAGCTCTACAGTTAGAAGAATCTAACTGTTTTTTTTAGTTTGTGACACTGAAATGTTTATTCCCACTTTCAGAGACATCTCTGCTTCAGACTCTTGTTCCTTCACTCAGGTTGAAATCTGCTCTCGTTTTCAGTTTGTGTTGGACCAGATCAGAGATCAACATGTCTGATAATAACCAATGAGAGGAGACAGCTGTCAAGCCCACAGTACACATTTTGTCATGTCTGTCTGCACAACCCACATTTGCAGACTAGCTAAACATCTCACTTTGATATGAACAGCTTTGACCCTGTGCATAGAGTTCATGTTTCTTTCGACTGAAAGAAGTGAAAACTTCACTCTTCACTCTCAGAGGTCAGATGAACACATTTCAGCCTATCAGAAAGATGGACCTACCTTTCCCTGCAGTTCTGCGATGGTGGCATAATAGCCACTGTAGTCTCTGGAGGAGGGGGATGACTTCTGGTCCAGGAACTCTCTGATCTTCCTCTCCAGCTCTGCGTTGGCCGCCTCCAGGCTGCGCACCTTCTCCAGGTAAGCTGCCAGACGGTCATTCAGGTTCTGCATGGTGGCCTTCTCATTGGTGGAGATGTCCATCTCCATACCACCACCGGCACCACCACCACCGCCACCACCAGCACCAAAGGAGAAGCCAGAACCCCTGCCACATCCGACTGCAGCAGCCATACCTCCGAGGTATGCAAAGCCACCTCCAACACCTCCACCACCTCCACCAGCGCTGTTCATGGACATGAAGGAGCTGCCACCAGAGATCCTGACTGATCCTGATCCAGCTCCACCTCCATACATGGAGGAAGCGCTGCCAAACCTTTTGCTGTACATGGTGATTAAGAGGAGGAGGCTGTCTTTCTGCTTCAGCTGAGGAGAGGAGACAGTGTGAAACTCTCAGAGGCAGATGTTTTATAGTGTTAGGAGAGCTGCAGAAGAGGAGGAGGAGAAAACATGGATGGTGGTGCCAAAGCAGGGAGGAGACGCCTGTCCTGGTATAATTCTTTGGAGGGTCAGTTGGCTGAAGGTGTGTCTGAGAAAGAGGAATCCACCCATCATTATTGTGTTCACCTTTGTGTTTTATAGTATTAGGAGAGCTGAAGAGTGGGAGGAGCAGGAGGAGAGGGAGGAGGAGGAGGAGGAGGAGGAGGAAGCATGGATGGTGGTGCCAAAGCAGGGAGGAGACACCTGTCCTGGTATAATTCTTTGGAGGGTCAGTTGGCTGAAGGTGTGTCTGAGAAAGAGGAATCCACCCATCATTATTGTGTTCACCTATGAGTGTAAACCCAATCATAATCCGAGTTGATTGCTCACGCAGACCTGCAGGCAAGTTCAGAACTGGATGATATTTAAGTTAAAAGATGAGTCAGTGCATTAACAACAACACATCTAGTCAGTTTGCAGGTACGGAGTGACTGACCTCACAATAGCAGCTGCTTCCTCAGTTTCATGACTGCAGGGTGAGGTGTCCTGGGCTGCAGGATGTTGTGGTGGCACTCAAGAGCCAAAAAGAATTAGAGAGTACAGCAGAAATTTGATGAAACAGTATCTATGTCATTTAGTAAGTAAAGGTAAGTCATTTCCAAGTAAACAAAACTGAGACTGAGCAGAGTTTGTCACATAGTCAAATATCAGGACAGTATGTTATTCAAACAAAAAAGTGTGAAAGAGTCACAGGACTAATCTCTCTGCACAGAGGATTTCAGAAAACTGCAGAGATTGTGTGAGGTTATGGTGCTGAAAGGTAATGTGCTTCGGTTCATGCAGAAACTGAACATAACAGGGTTCATGACCAACAGAAAACAATTTCAAACTAAGCGTTTGCCAAGAAGAATCAGGCTAAGCATGTTAAAGCTGACAGTTTCTTTAAAGGCTGCTGATTGATTTCACTGGAACATGATAAACACAACTTCTTTATGTCAGAGCAATGTCTTATCTGTGACTTAAGACAGAAAAGAGTGGACAAGTTGAAAAGAAAGTCACAGCAAAGTTCAAATACTTTAAAGGTCTAGAAAAAAATCTTGTTGGGTTAAAATCCCAGTTTCCATCTGTGCTGTATGCAGGGATATAATGTTAGAAACGATCAGCACTTACAGATATCTGTGCGCTTATTACAGGAAATCCACAGAAATTTGGATTCATTTATGAAACTGGGGCATAATGAATTAATGTGTTTGCAGAAGGAAACCTGCTGTGATCCAACATCAATATTATAGTCAATGATCATTTGATAGGACCAAACAAAATCTTTACCTTCTCTGACTGTCTGTAAAGTTTGTTGAAATAAAGATTACATATAGATCTTGCTTATGATCCTAACCATACTTTATTCCAACTGTAATCATTTATGTTCACAATGAGCAGATACCATTCAAACACATGTTTCAAACATTACCAACAGTAAAATATTACACTTTTAGCTAAAGTAGTTGGCACTAATAAAGACAGAGATGACAGAAAGTGTGTGTTGCTGAAAGTTGTGGCCCGAGGGAAAACACAAAATCAGTAAGAGTTTAATATTTACTGGAAAGACTCATTTTTTAAGTAGACATGGGCAGATCTGTTGACGTGTTTTTACTCATACCTAGGATTTTCAGGTGGCGTAATTATTATGTTATTAGCTGGCACTGGAAGGCTGTGATTTCTGTTGAGGAGCTGATTTATAACTAGAAATTCTCTCTGGGAAACATTGAGAGGGCCATGGGTGCTACTGCCAGGGTATGTAAATTATGATGAGATTCTTCAGAAATTTCAAAAATTGATATGATTAGCATTATGATACTATAGACGTGGAGCACACCTACAACAAACATTCAGTTTTTCAAGTTTTTTATTAATACAGCTAAAAAAAACATGGCCGGAGCAGTAGTCATTTCAAAAAAGTGCCTTTTATGTGCTTGTCCTGTTGACTTCAATGCAAATTTTTGCGCTGGTTCTCACGACATATGTATCGAAAAATTCATACACAACAGAGACAAGACATAGCTGACCAATCTCGATCAAATCACGTTTCGATATATAATTTGTCCTACAACTCTTTAAGCAGTTGGACTCGTAGCAAATCGAAAATTCTCCAGGGGAAGAGTATGAAAAAAACAGCAGTACCTTGGTGCGTTTGCCCTGTGGCCCTTATGAAGCTTGGACCTGGATTTAGACCAGGGATGGGCAATTAATTTTTACATGGGGCCACATAAGAAACCTGAACCTTGTTGGAGGGCCGAACCAACAATAATTTCAACTTCAAACCGGAGCGGTTTCACACATACAGAAAAGCAAGCCCAAATAAACTACTAGTTAAAAACAAGCCCAAAAAAGCGCACCCGCAACTCAGGAGTTTTACATGCAACTTCTTAGAGAAACAAGCCTGAAGTCTTTTATAATAAACAGACTGAGCAACTATAAAGCGTCTACGTAAATTTTGCAGATGTTTAAACTTCTCTCTGTTCACAAATGCAGATCTGGTATGTACGCACGTGCGTCCAAACCGAAATAAAACAACGGCAAGGTTTTCAAAATAAAAGCAACTCACTTGTATAGCATGTTGATGATTTGATTGACGGACTGCACGAATGGCCGTGACATCCAAGGGGCCAGATGTGGCCCTAGGGCCGAAATATGCTCAGGTCTGATTGAGACTATGCTCAACATTTTGATTGAGAGGTGTTTTCAGCTCAGTTATTTCACTCTGAGGAGAGAAATTTAAACATGTTCAAACTGACAGCAGGTTAGGTTTGGTAAAGGCCTTTATTTAGGCCTTTGCAAACTATAACTACTTTTTATAAACTTGGTCTATATTCTAAAGAGGGTATTTGTTCTCCAGACCCTCAGCTGGAAGGTTGAAAGTGCAAATCCAAATCACTCAAACAGATGCATTTCACACAAGCAACTGTCTGGTAATCAGGAACCTGCATTTTGCAGACCTTTATTCTGATTACATGATGGCAAAGGTAAAGGCCTCTGCAATATTGATCTGCATTATTTTTTGGAAATATTGCAGTTATCTGCCTGCAATTCTTTATTTAGATTGAGTTTCAAGCTTTATTCGAAACTGAATAAAAAAAGAGATGATTAATAAATTTTAATCTTGTTGTTTAGAAATCTTCTCTTTAATTTTTCGATGCTAGCCTAGTCTAGTGGCTTAAAGATGAACTGCACTTCAATAATTTAAGAAAGAAGACAACGGGCAGTCTTTAGTTTTTAAGCTCCTCAGCAGACTTTTATTTGAACCTTTATTTCATTGACAGCTGAGTGAGAGCGCCCCTTGGAGGGGATCACAGCTCCTTGGTGATCTCGGAGCTGCTGGAGCTGACCACCTTTCCGTCCACTAGCTCTTCCGTGATGGTGATGACCTTCTGTTTGGTGATGGTGGTGGAGACGGGGGGAGATACAACGGTGACACTGGCAGAGCCAGAGCCGGCGCCAGCACCAGAGCCTGAGCCTGAGCCAGAGCCTGAGCCTGAGCCTGAGCTGGAGGACATCATGGTGGATGAGGAACGACCGGAGCTGATACCGGAAGAGCCGAAGCCAGAGCCTGAGCCAGAACCAGCGCCAAAGCCAGAGCTGCAGGAGGAGGACACAGACTTTAACTTATCTCGTTTTAAACCAAGAGTCTCCCTTAAGCTGCTGCTGAGAGTGCAGGACAGATTTATACTAGAAAACAGAAATGATTTCTCTCATAATTAATGAGACTCTACCTTAAAATTAATCAAATGAAAACCGGTTTTTGATTAAAGGAAGATCACAAATAATCCTTAAGACTCAGAAGACTTCAATCCTCCATGTAAACCATTACTCACCCGCCTCCCTCTCCATCCAGCAGCCTCCTGTACTCTGCAATCTCCATCTCCAGTCTGGTCTTAATGTCCAGCAGCACCTCATACTCCTGGGACTGAGTCTCTAGGTTCATCCTCAGCTGGCACAGCTGCTCCTCCATCATGGCCACCTGGAGAAAAAGAAGAAGAATTTACCTTTCAAAGTTTAATCTGCAGTGACATCCTGAGCAGTAATATGTTACATCAAGCTCACCTGGTTCTGGTAACCTGACAGCTGCATGGCATACCGGTTGTTTGTGTCGGCCAGAGTTCCCTCGAGTGAAGCTTTCTGCAGCAGAGAAGAGGAGCAGGTTCAGTTTATCATTTACAGCAGCTGGAGGAGGTAGAAGGTTTATGATGAATGATGCTCACCATGCTAAGCTGTGACTGTAGCTCAATTTCCAGGGCCTGTAGAGTTCGCTTGAGGTCAGTGAGCTCTGATTTGGATATTGAGGAGGATTCTGTGGCTTCAGCGACTTCTTTGTTCAATGCCTCTGTCTGTGCAGAGGACAAAGACAACAGCAGGGTCAAACAAACTGTGAGAATACTCAGAGACACTGACTTGAAAATTCATAAAGCTATATAACTTCATCTCAATTGATGCTTAATTGAGAAACTCTGAAAGCAACAGGCTGTTCTTCTTCATGGGGATATTTGTATCTTTGGTATTTGAAAAGAGATCAATATATTCTTATTTTCACTGAGAGAAAGAAACATCCTGAAACACAGCTGACCTTTGCTTGTGCCCAGGCGTCCAGCTCTTTGCGATTCTTGGCAGCGAGAGCTTCGTAGTGATCCCTCATCTCCTCCAGGATCGCGTTCAGGTCTGGTCCCTGGGCGGCATCCACCTCCACGTTCACCTGACCACTCATCTGAGTCTTCATGTTCATCAGATCCTGCAGACAGAAACAAAGATGGAGGCGACTGTTAATCCGAGGAAAAGTGACAAACTCTTTTGATTTATAATATTGCCTCCTGGAGTCTGAACTGGATTAAAGAGATTCACCCACCTCCTCATGGTTCTTTTTGAGGAAGATCAGCTCCTCTTTCAGGCCCTCGATCTGCATCTCCAGGTCTGACCTGGCCATGGTCAGCTCGTCTAGGGCTCTCCTCAACCCGTTGATATCCGCCTCCACCGACTGGCGCATGGCAAGCTCGTTCTCGTACCTGCACAAAGGAGTGAGTCAAAAGGAGTCAGTCAAACAGTTTTTAGGGGGCTGTTCTAAAACTAACACAAACTAACATAAACTAACACATGCACAGAGAACATCAGCATGGAAGCTAACAGGACAGCTAATGGTTTTCTGCCTGGAAACAGCTGAAGACTTACTGATAGATCTTCCTAAATGTTTTTAGGCTAACAGCAGAGTTCATGTCCTAACAATACTATCACAGGTCTTAGTGTGCAGTTCCCTGACTGAGGAACATCAGGAAATGGCTAATAAGCAAATGAGCTAAATGAACTGATTCACTGACTTGAGCCTAAAGTCGTCTGCAGCCAGCTTGGCGTTGTCAATGGAGAGGTAGATGCCTGCGTTTACATTGGCAGCTTCCAGGATCTGAAAAATGAAAAGAGAGGAAGAAACATTCACTTTTTGATTTTTGTTTTTTGTTTTTGAAGCTTATGCCAAGAGTAACACATGGTAAACTATAGCTGTGTTACAAATACTCTTCTGTTTCAAATCGGACTGGTCTACAGAGGTTTGAGCTGAAGCAGAAAAAAGCTATGCAGTTTTATTCCCATCTGACTTTATTCCAGCTCTACAGTTAGAAGAATTAAACTAGTTTGTTTAGTTTGTGACACAGAAATGTTCATTATGACTTTCAGAGACATCTCTGCTTCGGACTCTTGTTCCTTCACTCAGGGTGAAATCTGCTCTCTTTTTCAGTTTGTTTTGGACCAGATCAGAGATCAACATGTCTGATAATGAACAATGAGAGGAGACAGCTGTCAAGCCCACAGTACACATTTTGTCATGTCTGTCTGCACAACCCACATTTGCAGACTAGTTAAACATCTCAGTTTGATATGAACAGCTTTGACCCCATGCATAAAGAGTTAACGTTTCTTTCGACTGAAAGAAGTGAAAACTTCACTCTTCACTCTCAGAGGTCACATGACAACATTTCAGCCTATCAGAAAGATGGACCTACCTTTCCCTGCAGTTCTGCGATGGTGGCATAATAGCCACTGTAGTCTCTGGAGGAGGGGGATGCCTTCTGCTCCAGGAACTCTCTGATCTTCCTCTCCAGCTCTGCGTTGGCTGCCTCCAGGCTGCGCACCTTCTCCAGGTAAGCTGCCAGACGGTCATTCAGGTTCTGCATGGTGGCCTTCTCATTGGTGGAGATGTCCATTTCCATACCACCACCGGCACCACCACCGCCACCACCACCAGCACCAAAGGAGAAGCCAGAACCCCTGCCACCTCCGACTGCAGCAGCCATACCTCCGAGGTATGCAAAGCCACCTCCAACACCTCCACCAGCGCTGTACATGGACGTGGAGGAGCTGCCACCAGAGATCCTGACTGATCCTGATCCAGCTCCACCTCCATACATGGAGGCAGCGCTGCCAAACCTTGAGTTGTACATGGTGATTAAGAGGAAGAGGCTGTCTTTCTGCTTCAGCTGAGGAGAGGAGACAGTGTGAAACTCTCAGAGACAGATGTTTTATAGTGTTAGGAGAGCTGAAGAGGAGGAGGAGGAGGAGGAGGAGGAGGAGGAAGCATGGATGGTGGTGCCAAAGCAGGGAGGAGACACCCTTCCTGGTATCATTCTTTGGAGGGTCAGTGGGCTGAAGGTGTGTCTGAGAAAGAGACTCCACCCATCCTTATTGTGTTTACCTATGAGTGTAAACCCAGTAATAATCAGAGTTGATAGCTCACGCAGACCTGCAGGCAAGTTTAGAACTGGATGATATTTACGTTCAAAGATCAGTCAGTGCATTAACAACAACAAGACATCTAGTCAGTTTGCAGGTACGGAGTGACTGACCTCACCCGAGCAGCTGCTTTCTCAGTCTCATGACTGCAGGGTGAGGTATCCTGGGCCGCAGGATGTTGTGGTGGCACTCGAGAGCCAAAAATAATTAGAGAGTACAGCAGAGATTTGATGAAACAGTATCTATGTCATTTAGTAATTCCAAGTAAACAAAACTGAGACTGAGCAGAGTTTGTCACATAGTCAAATATCAGGACAGGATATTATTCAAACAAAAAAGTGTGAAAGAGTCACAGGACTAATCTCTCTGCACAGAGGATTTCAGAAAAGAGCAGAGATTGTGTGAGGTTATGGTGGTGAAAGGTGAGGTGCTTCCAGTGGCGCTCCTGTCATTAGGCGGAGTAGGCGGCTGCTAGGGGCGTCCGGGAGCAGAAAGAGCGCCAGGTAGGGGAGAAGATTTTTTTTTAATGAATACTTCTTTTTTTTGCAATATAAAACAACAACAAAAACACAGAAATCTAACTACAGTACATACAGTACACAGGACACGACTCCTCCCCGCCCCCCTGCTCTCTCCTTGTAGTTGTATTGCGCTTGCTTCTGAGGTAAGTTGGGTTGGTAATTCTCTCTCTGTTTAACTCAACTAGTTACAACCAGGTAACTTGTAACACAACACACCCGTAGCGCCGCCGCCGCGGCTTATGCATTGCCACCACCAGTTCACCACACAGAGACCACACCAAGCACAGCCAACAAGGCAATAATAAGCCAAGGCAGGCCAGGCAGAGCAGCGTCAATTATCACTATGGCTTAATGCCTCAGCTGTTAGGCAACAACATGTTTTCTTGCCAAGGCATAATGCCTCAGTGCTTGACTTCTCCAAAGTGAAAAGTCGAGATGAGTCTTGACTTTCAATTCATTCAAAGTCGTCAGATCATGGCAGTCCAACATGTTGCAGAGTGCAGATCAAAAACACAGCGTATTAGCTAAGCAAATCATTTGTGTCAAGCCATTTGCTGATGTTTTAATTGAAGTTACTACCAGAAATCCTGCCTAGGGTGCCAAGTTGCTTAGGAACGCTACTGGGTGCTTCGGTTCATGCAGAAACTAAACATAACAGGGTTCATGACCAACAGAAAACAATTTCAAACTAAGTGTTTGCCAAGAAGAATCAGGCTAAGCATGTTAAAGCTGTCAGTTTCTTCAAAGGCTGCTGATTGATTTCACTGAAACATGATAAACACAACTTCTTAATGTCAGAGCAATGTCTTATCGGTGACTTGTGGACAAGTTGAAATGAAAGTCACAGCAATGTTTAAATACTTTGAAGGTCTAGAAAAAAATCTTGTTAGGTTCAAATCCCAGTTTCCATCTGTGCTGTATGCAGGGATATAATGTTAGAAACGATCAGCACTTACAGATATCTGTGCGCTTATTACAGGAAATCCACAGAAATTTGGTTTCATTTATGAAACTGGGGCAGAATGAATTAATGTGTCTGCAGAAGGAAACCTGCTGTGATCCAACATCAATATTTTAGTCAATTATCATTTGATCAGACCAAACAAAATCTTTACCTTCTCTGACTGTCTGTTAAGTTTGTTTAAATAAAGATTACATATAGATCTTGCTTATGATCCTAACCATACTTTATCCCAACTGTAATCATTTATGTTCACAATGAGCAGATACCATTGAAACACGTTTCAAACATTACCAACAGTAAAATATTACACTTTTAGCTAAAGTAGTTGGCACTAATAAAGACAGAGATGACAGAAAGTGTGTGTTGCTGAAAGTTGTGGCCCGAGGGGAAACACAAAATCAGTAAGAGTTTGATATTTACTGGAAATACACATTTTTTAAGTAGCCATGGGCAGATCTGTTTACATGTGTTTTTACTCATACCTAGGATTTTCAGGTGGCTATTTATTATGTTATTAGCTGGCACTAAAAGGCTGTGTTTTCTGTTGAGGAGCTGATTTATAACTAGAAATTCTCTCTGGGAAACATTGAGAGGGCCATGGGGGCTACTGCCAGGGTATGAAAATTATGATGAGATTCTTCAGATATTTTAATAAATTGATATGATTAGCATTATGATACTATATACGTGGAGCACACCTACAACAAACATTCAGTTTTCAAGTTTTTTAGATGTAACTTAAAAAACATGGCCGGAGCAGTAGTCATTTTTTAAAAGTGCCTTTTATGTGCTTGCCCTGTTGACTTCAATGCAAATTTTTGCGCTGGTTCTCACGACATATGTCTCGAAAAATTTAAACACAACGAGAAAAGAAATAGCTGACAAATCTCGATCAAAACACATGTTTCGATATATAATTTGTCCTACAACTCTTTAAGCAGTAGGACTAGTAGCAAATCGAAAATTCTCTATGAAAGGAATAAGAAAAAACAGCAGTACCTTGGGGCGTTTCCTCTGTGGCCCTAATGAAGCTTGGACCTGGATTTAGACCAGGGGTGGGCAATTAATTTTTACATGGGGCCACATAAGAAACCTGAACCTTGTTGGAGGGCCAAACCAACAATAATTTCAACTTCAAACCGGAGCGGTTTCACACGTACAGAAAAGCAAGCCCAAATAAACAACTACTAGTTAAAAACAAGCCCAAAAAAGCGCACCCGCAACTCAGGAGTTTTACATGCAACTTCTTAGAGAAACAAGCCTGAAGTCTTTTATAATAAACAGACTGAGCAACTATAAGGCGTCTTCGTAAAATTTTTTTACGCATGTGCGTCCAAACCGAAATAAAACGAGGGCTAGGTTTTCAAAATAAAAGCAACTCATTTGTATAGCATGTTGATGATTTGATTGACGGACCTCACGAAGGGCCGGGCAGGGACACATCCAAGGGGCCAGATGTGGCCCTAGGGCCGAAATATGCTCAGGTCTGATTAAGACTATGCTCAACATTTTGATTGAGAGGTGTTTTCAGCTCAGTTATTTCGGTCTGAGGAGAGAAATCTAAACATGTTCAAATTGACAGCAGGTCAGGGTTGGTAAAAGCCTTTATTTAGGCCTTTGCAAACTATAACTACTTTTTATAAACTTGGTCTATATTCTAAAGAGGGTATTTGTTCTCCAGACCCTCAGCTGGAAGGTTGAAAGTGCAAATCCAAATCACTCAAACAGATGCATTTCACACCAGCAACTGTCTGGTAATCAGGAACCTGCATTTTGCAGACCTTTATTCTGAGAACATGATGGCAAAGGTAAAGGCCTCTGCAATATTGATCTACATTACTTTTTGGAAATAATGCAGTCATCTGCCTGATATTCTTTTATTGGATTAATGAATTTCGAGCTTTATGTGAAACTGAATAAACAGGAAAAAAGAGATGATTAATAAATTTTGATCCTTATGAATAGAAATGTTCTTACCGTAAATTTTTCAATAATTTAAGAAAGAAGATAGCAGGCAGTTTTAAGTTTTTAAGCTCCTCAGCAGACTTTTATTTGAACCTTTATTTCTTTGACAGCTGAGTGAGAGCGCTCCCTTCAGGGAATCACAGCTCCTTGATCATCTCGGAGCTGCTGGAGCTGACCACCTTTCCGTCCACTAGCTCCTCCGTGATGGTAATGATCTTCTGTTTGGTGACGGTGGTAGAGGCAGGAGGAGATACAACGGTGACGCTGGCGGAGCCATCGCCAGAGCCGTCGCCAGTGCCAGTGCCAGAGCCAGAGCCAGTGCCAGTGCCAGTGCCAGAGCCAGAGCCGAAGCCAGAGCCTGAGCCAGTGCCAGAACCAGCGCCAAAGCCAGAGCCTGAGCCTGAGCCAGAGCTGCAGGAGGAAGACAAAGACTTTAACTTATCTCATTTTAAACCAAGAGTCTCCCTTAAGCCGCTGCCAAGAGTGCAGGACAAATTTATACTCGAAAAACAGAAATGATTGCTCTAATACTTCTCATACTACTGTAGATAAACTAATGAAAACAGATCTTTGTTAGAGGGAAGATCACAAATAATCCTTAAGACTCAGAGGACGTTAATCCTCCAAGTTAACCATTACTCACCCGCCTCCCTCTCCATCCAGCAGCCTCCTGTACTCAGCAATCTCCATCTCCAATCTGGTCTTAATGTCCAGCAGCACCTCGTACTCCTGGGACTGAGTCTCCAGGTTCATCCTCAGCTGGCACAGCTGCTCCTCCATCATGGCCACCTGGAGAAAAAGAAGAAGAATTTACCTTTCAAAGTTTAATCTGCAGTGACATCCTGAGCAGTAATATGTTACATCAAGCTCACCTGGTTCTGGTAACCTGACAGCTGCATGGCGTACCGGTTCTGCGTCTCGGCCAGAGTGGCCTCTAGTGAAGCTTTCTGCAGCAGAGAAGAGGAGCAGGTTCAGTTTATCATTTACAGCAGCTGGAGGAGGTAGAAGGTTTATGATGAATGGTGCTCACCATGCTAAGCTGTGACTGTAGCTCAATTTCCAGGGCCTGTAGAATTCGCTTGAGGTCCTTGACCTCTGTTTTGGACATTTGGGTGGATTCTGTGGCTTCAGCGACTTCTTTGTTCAATGCCTCTGTCTGTGCAGAGGACAAAGACAACAGCAGGGTCAAACAAACTGTGAGAATACTCAGAGACACTGATTTGATAATTCATAAAGCTATATAACATCATCTCAATTGATCCTTAAGTGAGAAACTCTGAATTCCTGATGCATCAACAGGCTGTTCTTCTTCATGGGGATATTTGTATCTTTGATATTTGAAAAGAGATCAATATATTCTTATTTTCACTGAGAAAGAAACATCCTGAAACACAGCTGACCTTTGCTTGTGCCCAGGCGTCCAGCTCTTTGCGGTTCTTGGCAGCGAGAGCTTCGTAGTGATCCCTCATGTCCTGAAGGATCTGGTTCAGGTCTGGTCCCTGGGCGGCATCCACCTCCACATTCACCTGACCACTCATCTGAGTCTTCATGTTCATCAGATCCTGCAGACAGAAACATAGATGGAGGCAACTGTCAGTCCAACGAGATGTAAAACCACAAGATCCGGAACGGCTGCTCTCCGATCAGGCGGATCGAATACACAAGCACAGTTAATTTTCAAAATCAAATAACGTCAGTTTGTTGAACTGTTCTTCACTGGATAATAGAAGAGGCCAGGGTTGTGGGATTTGGGTGTTTATATTCACCTCTGATCTCATTCAATGTCTCACAGGGAAACATGCGAGATCTCGTGAGATCTCATCCAGTCTCGCGAGAAATATCGGTAATATCCCAAGCACCTCCTCTGCTTACTGCAGCTGATCAGATCTGGTGGGCACTGCATGCTTGTGTTTTTGATACGCCTACTGGTCCAAAGCATTTCCGGATCCTGTGGAATCCCCGAGTTACAAACTTTTTTTACTAAAAACATTGTCTCCTGGAGTCTGAACTGGATTAAGGAGAGTTACCCACCTCCTCATGGTTCTTTTTGAGGAAGACCAGCTCCTCTGTCAGGCCTTCGATCTGCATCTCCAGGTCTGACTTGGCCATGGTCAGCTCATCTAGGGCTCTCTTCAGCCCGTCGATATCCGCCTCCACCGACTGGCGCATGGCGAGCTCGCTCTCGTACCTGCACCAAGGAGCAAGTCAGAAGGAGTCAGTAACACAGTTTTTAGGGGGCTGTTCTAAAACTAACACGAACTAACAAACTAACACATGCACGTAGAACATTAGTATGGCAGCTAACAGGACAGCTAATGGTTTCCTGACTGGAAACAGCTGGAGACTTACTGATAGGTCTTCCTAAATGTTTTTAGGCTAACAGCAGAGTTCATGTCTTTATAATACTGTCAGTGCAGTTCCCTGACTGAGACACATCAGGAAACAGCTAATAAGCGAATTAGCTAAATGAACTGATTCACTGACTTGAGTCTGAAGTCGTCTGCAGCCAGCTTGGCGTTGTCAATGGAGAGGTAGATGCCTGCATTTACATTGGCAGCTTCCAGGATCTGAAAAAATGAAAAGAGAGGAAGAAATATTCACTTTTTAATTTTTGGTCTTCGTTTTTGAAGCTTATGCCAAGAGTAACACAACGTAAACCATAGATTAGTAACAATTACTCTTTTGTTTCAAATCGGACTGGTCTACAGAGGTTTGAGCTGAAGCAGAAAAAAGCTATGCAGTTTTATTCCCATCTGACTTTATTCCAGCTCTACAGTTAGATGAATTAAACTGGTTTGCACTTTTTGATTTGTACAGTAACAGTAAACCATCAGTAACACAAGGTAAACTATAGATTAGGGTGACCATATGTACTCTTTTAACCGGACATGTCTTCTTTTTGGGGGGCTGTGTCTGGAGGAAGCTCATAAAATCTCTTAAATGTCTGCAGTTTTGTACGTAAGTTTCGATTTTGTGTAACGTGGACTGACTGAGTTAGAAGTGAGTAAAAGACACTTGATTCAAGCCAAAAAACTTTCAAAATTAACTTCGTGCAACTTTCTGACTCCACCTTGCGCAGTCGTGTCCTCTTTTTAGGAAGTCAGAATATGATTGCTCTACTGTAGATAAGGTATAAATACTCTTTTTTTTCGCGGTCGGACTGGTCCAAAGAGGTTTGAGCTGAAGCTTATTCCCACCTGACTTTATTCCAGCTCTACAGTTAAATGAATTTAACAGGCTTGTTTAGTTTGTGATGCTGAAATGTTCATTCCGACTTTCAGAGACATCTCTGCTTCAGTCTCTTGTACTTTCACTCAGGGTGAAATCTGCTCTTTTAGTTCTTGTTGGACCAGATCAGAGACCAACATGTCTGATTATAAACATGAGAGGAGACAGCTGTCAAGCCGAGAGTGCACATCTTTTTAGTCTGTCTGCACAGCCCACATTTGCAGACTGTAGTTAAACATTTGAAATCTGATTCTAGACCGGCTAGTTTTTAAGGTGTGCATGAGTATTTTATTTAGATCTCGTGAATGACTCAGAGTAAAAACTGTACTTAGTGCAGAGTCAGCTCAGACATCAGAGCATGAAAAGTTTGGTATGAACAGCTTTGACCCTGTCCATGAAGAGTTAATTTTTCTTTCTGAAAGAAGTGCAAACTTCATTCTTCACTCTCAGAGGTCACATGACAACATTTCAGCCTATCAGGAGGATGGACCTACCTTTCCCTGCAGTTCTGCGATGGTGGCATAATAGGCACTGTAGTCACTTCTGGAGGAGGGGGATGCCTTCTGCTCCAGGAACTCTCTGATCTTCCTCTCCAGCTCTGCGTTGGCTGCCTCCAGGCTGCGCACCTTCTCCAGGTAAGCTGCCAGACGGTCGTTCAGGTTCTGCATGCAGGCTTTTTCATTGGTGGAGATGTCCATCTCCGCACCACCACCGGCACCAGCAGCAGCATCAAAGGAGAAGCCAGAACCTTTCCCCCCTACGACTGCAGCAGCCATACCTCCGAGGTACGCAAACCCACCTCCAACACCTCCACCACCTCCACCTCCAGAGATCCTGACTGATCCTGCTCCAACTCCAGCTCCATACATGGAGGCAGAGCTGCCAGATCTTTGGCCGTACATGGTGATTAAGAGGAGAAGGCTTTCTTTCTGCTTCAGCTGAGGAGAGGAGACAGTGTGAAACTCTCAGAGACAGATGTTTTATAGTGTTAGGAGAGCTGAAGAAGAGGAGGAGGAGGAAGGATGGATGATGGTGCCATAGCAGGGAGGAGACACCTGTCCTGGTATCATGCTCAGGAGGGTCAGTGGGCTGAAGGTGTGTCTGAGAACGAGGAATCCACCCATCATTAGTGTGTTCACCTATTAGTGTAAACCCAACCACAATCAGAGATCAAAGCAGAGCTGCAGGCAAGTTCAGAACTTGATGACATTAACATTCAAAGATCAGTCAGTGCATTAACAACAACAACACATCCAGTCAGTCTGCAGGTACAGAGTGACTGACCTCACCTGAACCGCTGCTTTCTCAGTGTCATGATTGCAGAGTGAGGTATCGTGGGCTGCAGGATTTGGTGGCACTTGGGAGGCAAAGAAGATTAGGGAGTACAGCAGATATTTGATGAAACACAGTCTTTGTCAGTTGAGTAATCCCAAGTAAACAAAACTCTGACCTAGGAGGGATAGTCATGTGGTCAAGCTCAGGACAAGATGCTATTCAAGCAAAAAAGTGTCAAAGAGTCACAGGACTAATCTCTCTGCACAGAGGATTTCAGAAAACTGCAGAGATTGTACGAGGTTATGGTGCTGAAAGGTGTGGTGCTACAGTACACAGAGAAACTAAATCATTACAGGGTCTGGGAAGAACAGAAAACAATTACATACTAAGTGTTTGCCAAGAAGAATCAGACTGAACGTGTTTGAGCTGTCAGTTTCTTCAAAGGCTGCTGATTGATTTCACTGAAACATGATAAACACAACTTCTTTATGTCAGAGCAATGTCTTATTGGTGACTTAGAAAGAGTGGACAAGTTGAAAAGAAAGTCACAGCAAAGATCAAATACTTTGAAGGTCTAGAAAAAAATCTTGTTGGGTTAAAATCCCAGTTTCCATCTGTGCTGTATGCAGGGATATAATGTTAGAAACGATCAGCACTTACAGATATCTGTGCTTATTACAGAAAAACCAAAGAAGTTTGGTTTCATTTATGAAACTGGGGCATAATGAATTAATGTATCTGCAGAAGGAAACCTGCTGTGATCCAACATCAATATTTTAGTCAATGATCATTTGATAAGACCAAACAAAATCTTTGCTTCCTCTGACTGTCTGTAAAGTTTGTTGAAATAAATATTACATATAGATCTTGCTTATGATCCTAACCATACTTTATCCCAACTTTAATCGTTTATGTTCACAATGAGCAGATACCATTGAAACACGTTTCAAACATTACCAACAGTAAAATATTACACTTTTAGCTAAATTAGTTGGCACTAATAAAGACAGAGATGACAGAAAGTGTGTGTTGCTGTAAGTTGTGGCCCGAGGGGAAACACAAAATCAGTAAGAGTTTAATATTTACTGGAAAGACACATTTTTTAAGTAGCCATGGGCAGATCTGTTTACATGTGTTTTTACTCCTACCTAGGATTTTCAGGTGGCTATTTATTATGTTATTAGCTGGCACTGGAAGGCTGTGTTTTCTGTTGAGGAGCTGATTTATAACTAGAAATTCTCTCTGGGAAACATTGAGAGGGCCATGGGTGCCACTGCCAGGGTATGTAAATTTAATGAGATTCTTCAGATATTTCAAAAAATTGATATGATTAGCATTATGATATAATATATGTGAAGCACACCTACAACAAACATTCTTTTTTTTTTTAAATACAACTAAAAAAACCAAAGCCGGAGCAGTAGTCATTTTTAAAAAGTGCCTTTTCTGTGCTTGTCCTGTCGACTTCAATCCAATTTTTTGCGCTGATTCTCACAACATATGTCTCAACAAATTTCTATACAACAGAGAAAAGTAATAGCTGACCAATCTTAATCAAACCATGTGTTTCAATATATAATTTGTCCTACAACTCTTTAAGCAGTAGGACTAGTAGCAAATCGAAAATTCTCTATGAAAGGAATAAGAAAAAACAGCAGTGCCTTGGGGCGTTTGCCCTGTGGCCCTAATGAAGCTTAAACCTGGATTGAGACTATGCTCAACATTTTGATTGAGAGGTGTTTTCAGCTCAGTTATTTCGCTCTGAGGAGAGAAATCTAAACATGTTCAAACTGACAGCAGGTCAGGGTTGGTAAAAGCCTTGATTTAGGCCTTTCTAAACTATAATTACTTTTTAAGAACTTGGTCTATATTCTAAAGAGGGTATTTGTTCTCCAGACCCTCAGCTGGAAGGCTGAAGGTGCAAATCCAAATCACTCAAACAGATGCATTTCACACAAGCAACTGTCTGGTAATCAGGAACCTGCATTTTACAGACCTTTATTCTGAGAACATGATGACTTTATTCAGACAAATGTCTTTGTTCTGATAACAAATGACTTCATTTTAGTAACATGATGACAGGAGTCAAGGTTTCTGCAATATTGATCTGCATATTTTTTTAAATATTGCAGTTATCTGCCTGCAATTCTTTTATTAGATTAAAAAGTTTCAAGCTTTATTTGAAACTGAATAAACATGAAAAAAAGAGATGATTAATAAATTTTAATCTTGTTGTTTAGAAATCTTCTCTTTAATTTTTCGATGCTAGCCTAGTCTAGTGGCTTATAGATGAACTGCACTTCAATAATTTAAGAAAGAAGACAACAGGCAGTCTTTAGTTTTTAAGCTCCTCAGCAGACTTTTATTTGAACCTTTATTTCATTGACAGCTGAGTAAGAGCGCCCCCTTCAGGGAATCACAGCTCATTGGTGACCTCAGAGCTGCTGGAGCTGACCACCTTTCCGTCCACTAGCTCCTCCACGATCGTGATGACCTTCTGTTTTTTGACGGTGGTGGAGACGGGGGGAGATACAACGGTGACGCTGGCGGAGCCAGAGCCAGAGCCAGCACCAGCGCCTGAGCCAGAGCCGAAGCCAGAGCCTGAGCCAGAGCCGAAGCCAGAGCCTGAGCCAGAGCCGAAGCCAGAACCAGAGCCAGAGCCAGAGCTGCAGGAGGAGGACACAGACTTTAACTTATCTCGTTTTAAACCAAGAGTCTCCCTTAAGCTGCTGCTGAGAGTGCAGGACAGATTTATACTAGAAAACAGAAATGATTTCTCTCATACTTAATGGGACTCTTCACCTTAAAATTAATCAAATGAAAACAGGTTTTTGTTGAAAGGAAGGTCACAAATAATCCTGAACACTCGAAGGACTTTAATCCTCCAAGTAAACCATTACTCACCCGCCTCCCTCTCCATCCAGCAGCCTCCTGTACTCTGCAATCTCCATCTCCAATTTGGTCTTGATGTCCAGCAGCGCCTCGTACTCCTGGGACTGAGTCTCAATCTGTGCCTTCAGCTGGCACAGCTGCTCCTCCATCATGATCACCTGGAGAACAAGAAGAAGAATAGGAAAGAGTTTGGATTTCAAAGTTTAATCTGCAGTGACATTCTGAGCAGTAATATGTAACATCAAGCTCACCTGGTTCTGGTAACCTGACAGCTGCATGGCGTACCGGTTCTGTGTCTCAGCCAGAGTGGCCTCTAGTGAAGCTTTCTGCAGCAGAGAAGAGGAGCAAGTTCAGTTTATCATTTACAGCAGCTGGAGGAGGTAGAAGGTTTATGATGAATGATGCTCACCATGCTAAGCTGTGACTGTAGCTCAATTTCCAGGCCCTGTAGAACTCGCCTGAGGTCAGTGAGCTCTGATTTGGATATTGAGGTGGATTCTGCGGTTTCAGCGACTTCTTTGTTCAATGCCTCTGTCTGTGCAGAGGACAAAGACAACAGCAGGGTCAAACAAACTGTGAGAATACTCAGAGACACTGATTTGATAATTCATAAAGCTATAAAACTTCATCTCAATTGATCCTTAAGTGAGAAACTCTGAACTCCTGATGCAACAACAGGCTGTTCTTCTTCATGGGGATATTTGTATCTTTGGTATTTGAAAAGAGATCAATATATTCTTATTTTCACTGAGAAAAAAAAACATCCTGAAACACAGCTGACCTTTGCTTGTGCCCAGGCGTCCAGCTCTTTGCGGTTCTTTTCAGCGAGAGCTTCGTAGTGATCCCTCATGTCCTGAAGGATCTGGTTCAGGTCTGGTCCCTGGGCGGCATCCACCTCCACATTCACCTGACCACTCATCTGAGTCTTCATGTTCATCAGATCCTGCAGACAGAAGCAAAAATGGAGGTGACTGTCAGTCCATGGAAAAGTGACAAACTCTTTTGATTTAAAATATTGCCTCCTGGAGTCTGAACTGGATTAAAGAGATTCACCCACCTCCTCATGGTTCTTTTTGAGGAAGATCAGCTCCTCTTTCAGGCCCTCGATCTGCATCTCCAGGTCTGACCTGGCCATGGTCAGCTCATCCAGGGCTCTCCTCAGCCCGGTGATATCCGCCTCCACCGACTGGCGCATGGCGAGCTCGTTCTCGTACCTGCACAAAGGAGTGAGTCAGAAGGAGTCATGAATGTGTCTCTGGAGGGTTGTTTTTTCTAAAACTAACACAAACTAACATAAACTAGCACATGCACAGAGAACACTAGTATGGAAGCTAACAGCACAGCTAATGGTTTTCTGCCTGGAAACAGCTGAAGACTTACTGATAGATCTTCCTATATGTTTTTAGGCTAACAGCAGAGTTCATGTCCTAACAATACTATCACAGGTCTTTGTGTGCAAATCCTTGACTGAGGAACATCAGGAAACTGCGAATGAGTGAATGAGCTAAATGAGCTAAATGAACATATTCACTGACTTGATTCTGAAGTCATCTGCAGCCAGCTTGGCGTTGTCAATGGAGAGGTAGATGCCAGCGTTTACGTTGCTAGCTTCTATGATCTGAAAAATGAAAGAGAGGAAGAAACATTCACTTTTTGATTTTTGGTCTTTGTTTTTGAAGCTTATGCAAATAGTAACACAAGGTAAACTAGACCTGTGTTACAAATACTCTTTTGTTTCAAATCAGACTGGTCTACAGAGGTTTGAGCTGAAGCTTATTCCCACTTTATTCCAGCTCTACAGTTAAATGAAGTTAAAGGGTTTGTTTAGTTTGATGCTGAAAAGTTCATTCACACTTTCAGAGACATCTCTGCTTTAGTGTCTTGTTCTTCACTCTCAGAGGTCACATGACAACATTTCAGCCTATCAGGAGGATGGACCTACCTTTCCCTGCAGTTCTGCGATGGTGGCGTAATAGGCACTGTAGTCATTGGCGGAGGAGCCGGATGTCTTCTTCTCCAGGAACTCTCTGATCTTCCTCTCCAGCTCTGCGTTGGCTGCCTCCAGGTTGCGCACCTTCTCCAGGTAAGCTGCCAGACGGTCATTCAGGTTCTGCATGCAGGCCTTCTCATTGGTGGAAATGTCCATCTCCGCACCACCACCGGCACCACCAGCAGCATCAAAGGAGAAGCCAGAACCTTTCCCCCCTACGACACCAGTAGCCATACCTCCGAGGTACGCAAACCCACCTCCACTACCTCCACCACCTCCACCTCCAGAGATCCTGACTGATCCTGCTCCAACTCCAGCTCCATACATGGAGGCAGAGCTGCCAGATCTTTGGCCGTACATGGTGATTAAGAGAAGGAGGCTGTCTTTCTGCTTCAGCTGAGGAGAGGAGACAGTGTGAAACTCTCAGAGACAGATGTTTTATAGTGTTAGGAGAGCTGAAGAGGAGGAGGAGGAGGAGGAGGAGGAGGAAGGATGGATGATGGTGCCATAGCAAGGAGGAGACACCTGTCCTGGAATCATTCTTTGGAGGGTCAGTGGGCTGAAGGTGTGTCTGAGAAAGAGGAATCCACCCATCATTAGTGTGTTCACCTATAAGTGTAAACCCAACCACAATCAGAGATCAAAGCAGAGCTGCAGGCAAGTTCAGAACTGGATGACAATAACATTCAATGATCAGTCAGTGCATTAACAACAACAACACATCCAGTCAGTCTGCAGGTACAGAGTGACTGACCTCACCTGAGCAGCTGCTTTCTCAGTGTCATAACTGCAGGGTGAGGTATCCTGGGCTGCAGGATTTGGTGGCAGTTGTGAGGCAAAGAGGAATGAAGTACAGCAGATATTTGATGAAACACAATCTTTGTCAGTTGAGTAATCCCAAGTAAACAAAACTGAGACTGAGCAGAGTTTGTCATACAGTCAAATATCAGGACAAGGTGCTACTCAAACAAAAAAGTGTGAAAGAGTCACAGGACTAATCTCTCTGCACAGAGGATTTCAGAAAAGAGCAGAGATTGTACGAGGTTATGGTGCTGAAAGGTGTGGTGCTACAGTACACGGAGAAACTAAATCATTACAGGGTTCATGACAAACAGAAAACAATTACATACTAAGTGTTTGCCAAGAAGAATCAGACTGAACGTGTTTGAGCTGTCAGTTTCTTCAAAGGCTGCTGATTGATTTCACTGAAACATGATAAACACAACTTCTTTATGTCAGAGCAATGTCTTATTGGTGACTTAGAGAGAAAAGAGTGGACAAGTTGAAAAGAGAGTCACAGCAAAGATCAAATACTTTGAAGGTCTAGAAAAAAATCTTGTTGGGTTAAAATCCCAGTTTCCATCTGTGCTGTATGCAGGGATATAATGTTAGAAACAATCAGCACTTACAGATATCTGTGCGCTTATTACAGAAAAACCAAAGAAGTTTGGTTTCATTTATGAAACTGGGGCATAATGAATTAATGTGTCTGCAGAAGGAAACCTGCTGTGATCCAACATCAATATTTTAGTCAATGATCATTTGATAAGACCAAACAAAATCTTTACTTCCTCTGACTGTTGGTAAGGTTTGTTTAAATAAATATTACATATAGATCTTGCTTATGATCCTAACCATACTTTATCCCAACTGTAATCGTTTATGTTCACAATGAGCAGATACCATTGAAACACGTTTCAAACATTACCAACAGTAAAATATTACACTTTTAGCTAAAGTAGTTGGCACTAATAAAGACAGAGATGACAGAAAGTGTGTGTTGCTGAAAGTTGTGGCCCGAGGGGAAACACAAAATCAGTAAGAGTTTAATATTTACTGGAAAGATGCATTTTTTAAGTAGCCATGGGCAGATCTGTTTACATGTGTTTTTACTCATACCTAGGATTTTCAGGTGGCTGTTTATTATGTTATGAGCTGGCACTGGAAGGCTGTGATTTCTGTTGAGGAGCTGATTTATAACTAGAAATTCTCTCTGGGAAACATTGAGAGGGCCATGGGTGCCACTGCCAGGGTATGTAAATTTAATGAGATTCTTCAGATATTTCAAAAAATTGATATGATTAGCATTATGATATAATATATGTGAAGCACACCTACAACAAACATTCTTTTTTTTTTAAATACAACAAAAAAAACCAAAGCCGGAGCAGTAGTCATTTTTAAAAAGTGCCTTTTCTGTGCTTGTCCTGTCGACTTCAATCCAATTTTTTGCGCTGATTCTCACAACATATGTCTCAACAAATTGATATACAACAGAGAGAAGTAATAGCTGACCAATCTTAATCAAACCATGTGTTTCAATATATAATTTGTCCTACAGCTCTTTAAGCAGTAGGACTAGTAGCAAATCGAAAATTCTCTAGGAAAGGAATAAGAAAAAACAGCAGTGCCTTGGGGCGTTTGCCCTGTGGCCCTAATGAAGCTTAAACCCGGATTGAGACTATGCTCAACATTTTGATTGAGAGGTGTTTTCAGCTCAGTTATTTCGCTCTGAGGAGAGAAATCTAAACATGTTCAAACTGACAGCAGGTCAGGGTTGGTAAAAGCCTTGATTTAGGCCTTTCTAAACTATAATTACTTTTTAAGAACTTGGTCTATATTCTAAAGAAGGTATTTGTTCTCCAGACCCTCAGCTGGAAGGCTGAAGGTGCAAATCCAAATCACTCAAACAGATGCATTTCACACCAGCAACTGTTTGGTAATCAGGAACCTGCATTTTGCAGACCTTTATTCTGAGAACATGATGACTTTATTCAGACAAATGTCTCTGTTCTGATAACAAATGACTTCATTTTAGTAACATGATGACAGGAGTCAAGGTTTCTGCAATATTGATCTGCATATTTTTTTAAATATTGCAGTTCTCTGCCTGCAATTCTTTTATTAGATTAAAAAGTTTCAAGCTTTATTTGAAACTGAATAAACATGAAAAAAAGAGATGATTAATACATTTTAATCTTGTTGTTTAGAAATCTTCTCTTTAATTTTTCGATGCTAGCCTAGTCTAGTGGCTTAAAGATGAACTGCACTTCAATAATTTAAGAAAGAAGACAACGGGCAGTCTTTAGTTTTTAAGCTCCTCAGCAGACTTTTATTTTAACCTTTATTTCTTTGACAGCTGAGTGAGAGCGCCCCCTTCAGGGAATCACAGCTCATTGGTGACCTCAGAGCTGCTGGAGCTGACCACCTTTCCGTCCACTAGCTCCTCCACGATCGTGATGACCTTCTGTTTTTTGACGGTGGTGGAGACTGGGGGAGATACAACGGTGACGCTGGCGGAGCCAGAGCCAGAGCCAGAGCCAGCACCAGCGCCAGAGCCTGAGCCAGAGCCGAAGCCAGAGCCTGAGCCAGAGCCGAAGCCAGAACCAGAACCAGAGCCAGAGCTGCAGGAGGAAGACAAAGACTTTAACTTATCTCGTTCTAAACCGAGAGTCTCCCTGACGCTGCTGCTGAGAGTGCAGGACAGATTTATACTAGAAAACAGAAATGATTTCTCTCATACTTAATGGGACTCTTCACCTTAAAATTAATCAAATGAAAACAGGTTTTTGTTGAAAGGAAGGTCACAAATAATCCTGAACACTCGAAGGACTTTAATCCTCCATGTAAACCATTACTCACCCGCCTCCCTCTCCATCCATCAGCCTCCTGTACTCTGCAATCTCCATCTCCAATCTGGTCTTGATGTCCAGCAGCACCTCGTACTCCTGGGACTGAGTCTCCAGCTGTGCCTTCAGCTGGCACAGCTGCTCCTCCATCATGATCACCTGGAGAACAAGAAGAAGAATAGGAAAGAGTTTGGATTTCAAAGTTTAATCTGCAGTGACATCCTGAGCAGTAATATGTAACATCAAGCTCACCTGGTTCTGGTAACCTGACAGCTTCATGGCGTACTGGTTCTGTGTGTCGGCCAGAGTTCCCTCGAGTGAAGCTTTCTGCAGCAGAGAAGAGGAGCAGGTTCAGTTTATCATTTACAGCAGCTGGAGGAGATAGAAGGTTTATGATGAATGATGCTCACCATGCTAAGCTGTGACTGTAGCTCAATTTCCAGGGCCTGTAGAGTTCGCTTGAGGTCAGTGAGCTCTGATTTGGATATTGAGGAGGATTCTGTGGCTTCAGCGACTTCTTTGTTCAATGCCTCTGTCTGTGCAGAGGACAAAGACAACAGCAGGGTCAAACAAACTGTGAGAATACTCAAAGACACTGATTTGATAATTCATAAAGCTATAAAACTTCATCTCAATTGATCCTTAATTGAGAAACTCTGAACTCCTGATGCATCAACAGGCTGTTCTTCTTCATGGGGGTATCTGTATCTTTAATATTTGAAAAGAGATCAATATATTCTTATTTTCACTGAGAGAAAAAAACATCCTGAAACACAGCTGACCTTTGCTTGTGCCCAGGCGTCCAGCTCTTTGCGGTTCTTTTCAGCGAGATCTTCGTAGTACTTCCTCATCTCCTCCAGGATCGCGTTCAGGTCTGGTCCCTGGGCGGCATCCACCTCCACATTCACCTGACCACCCACCTGAGTCTTCATGTTCATCAGATCCTGCAGACAGAAGCAAAAATGGAATCGACTTTCAGTCCATGGAAAAGTGACAAACTCTTTTGATTTAAAGTATTGCCTCCTGGATTCTGAACTGGATTGAAGAGATTCACCCACCTCCTCATGGTTCTTTTTGAGGAAGATAATCTCCTCTTTCAGGCCCTCGATCTGCATCTCCAGGTCTGACCTGGCCATGGTCAGTTCGTCCAGGGCTCTCCTTAACCCGCCGATATCCGCCTCCACCGACTGGCGCATGGCAAGCTCATTCTCGAACCTGCACCAAGGAGCAAATCAGAAGGAGTCATGAATGTGTCTCTGGAGGGTTGTTTTTTCTAAAACTAACACAAACTAACATAAACTGACACATGCATAGAGAACATTAGCATGGAAGCTAACAGGACAGCTAATGGTTTTCTGCCTGGAAACAGCTGGAGACTCACTGATAGGTCTTCCTATATGTTTTTAGGCTAACAGCAGAGTTCATGTCCTAACAATACTATCACAGGTCTTTGTGTGCAAATCCTTGACTGAGGAACATCAGGAAACAGCGAATGAGTGAATGAGCTAAATGAGCTAAATGAACATATTCACTGACTTGATTCTGAAGTCGTCTGCAGCCAGCTTGGCGTTGTCAATGGAGAGGTAGATGCCGGCGTTTACGTTGCTAGCTTCTATGATCTGAAAAATGAAAAGAGAGGAAGAAACATTCACTTTTTAAATTTTTGGTCTTTGTTTTTGAAGTTTACGCTAAGAGTAACACAAGGTAAACTATAGATTGGACTGATCTACAGAGGTTTGAGCTGAAGCTTATTCCCACTTTATTCCAGCTTTACAGTTAAATGAAGTTAAAGGGTTTGTTTAGTTTGATGCTGAAAAGTTCATTCAGACTTTCAGAGACATCTCTGCTTTAGTGTCTTGTTCTTCACTCTCAGAGGTCACATGACAACATTTCAGCCTATCAGGAGGATGGACCTACCTTTCCCTGCAGTTCTGCGATGGTGGCGTAGTAGGCACTGTAGTCATTGGCGGAGGAGCCGGATGTCTTCTTCTCCAGGAACTCTCTGATCTTCCTCTCCAGCTCTGCGTTGGCTGCCTCCAGGTTGCGCACCTTCTCCAGGTAAGCTGCCAGACGGTCATTCAGGTTCTGCATGCAGGCCTTCTCATTGGTGGAGATGTCCATCTCCGCACCACCACCGCCACCAGCAGCATCAAAGGAGAAGCCAGAACCTTTCCCCCCTACGACACCAGTAGCCATACCTCCGAGGTACGCAAACCCACCTCCAACACCTCCACCACCGCCACCTCCAGAGATCCTGACTGATCCTGCTCCAACTCCACCTCCATACATGGAGGCAGAGCTGCCAGATCTTTGGCCGTACATGGTGATTAAGAGAAGGAGGCTTTCTTTCTGCTTCAGCTGAGGAGAGGAGACAGTGTGAAACTCTCAGAGACAGATGTTTTATAGTGTTAGGAGAGCTGAAGAGGAGGAGGAGGAGGAAGGATGGATGATGGTGCCATAGCAAGGAGGAGAGACCTGTCCTGGAATCATTCTTTGGAGGGTCAGTGGGCTGAAGGTGTGTCTGAGAAAGAGGAATCCACCCATCATTAGTGTGTTCACCTATTAGTGTAAACCCAACCACAATCAGAGATCAAAGCAGAGCTGCAGGCAAGTTCAGAACTGGATGACAATAACATTCAATGATCAGTCAGTGCATTAACAACAACAACACATCCAGTCAGTCTGCAGGTACAGAGTGACTGACCTCACCTGAGCAGCTGCTTTCTCAGTGTCATAACTGCAGGGTGAGGTATCCTGGGCTGCAGGATTTGGTGGCAGTTGTGAGGCAAAGAGGAATGAAGTACAGCAGATATTTGATGAAACACAGTCTTTGTCAGCTGAGTAATCCCAAGTAAACAAAACTCTGACCAAGGAGGGATAGTCATGTGGTCAAGCTCAGGACAAGATGCTATTCAAGCAAAAAAGTGTCAAAGAGTCACAGGACTAATCTCTCTGCACAGAGGATTTCAGAAAAGAGCAGAGATTGTGTAAGGTTTTGGTGCTAAAAGGTGAGGTGCTACAGTACACGGAGAAACTAAATCAATACAGGGTTCATGACAAACAGAAAACAATTACAAACTAAGTGTTTGCCAAGAAGAATCAGACTGAACGTGTTTGAGCTTTCAGTTTCTTTAAAGGCTGTTGATTGATTTCACTGGAACATGAGAAATAAACACAACTTCCTTACATCAGATCACTGTAGAGTGGTGTCTTAGTGACTTTAGACAGAAAAGAGTGCACGTGTTGAAAAAAAAGTCACAACATGGTTAAATAAAGATTGCACAGATACTGCTTATGAGCCAAAATCATAAGTTATTTCAAACTGTAATATTTAATGTCCACAATAAGGAGATACTATTGAAACACGTTTCAATCATTACCAACAATGAAATATAACACTCTTTGCAAAGTCGTTGGCACTTTTAAAGACAGAGATGATACAAAGTGTTTGTTGTTGAAAGCTGTGGCCTGAGGGGAAACACAAAATCATTAAGAGTTTAGAGTTTACTGGAAAAACCATTTTTTAAGTAGCCATGGACAGATCTGTTTGCATGTTACCCATACCTTAAGGTGACCAGACATCCCCGATTTCCTGGGACAATCCCTGACTTTAGTGTTTCATCAATGAGAACAAAATTGTTGCATGTAGACTAGAACAACAGTTGTTACAGTAGCCAAGTAGGTGGGAAGCATGAGTAAATATGTCTTGAACAACAGTTTTTATGGGGGGTTATTGCGGGGGGCATGCACTGCTGCTAAGTAGTACCGAGATGTTGTCTGTGATCATGCAGCCCATAACCGCACCCCCCAACCCCTCCGCTCCTCCTCGCTCCGGATGTCCCCAGATTTCATTACAGAAATCTGGTCACCATACCTTGAATTTTCAGGTGTCTACTTTTTTTTTTTTTAAGCTGGTACTGGGGGACCAGCTAAAAGGCAGAATTACAGAATTTAAATACTGAGCCTCTAAATGCAGCAATGGCTCTCTCAGCTCCCCATGAGTGTGATACAAAGATTTTTTATTACACCCATGGTGGGTAGGGGGTTGGGCTTGGTCCAGGAATCCATAAAAGAGTAGATGATCCAAATCCAGAGATGAGTGCTGGTTCCGGTGGAAAAAGGCTATCCAGCATGTAGACAGGAACAGGAGTCAGGGCCAGTTTAGCTGTAAGCAGAGGAGACAGGTGTTAAAGGGAAAAACACAGGCTCTGAGATAGACCGGGCACCTGACCAAGGTGTAACCCTGCCTCTCACTGACGGACTGCTGGAAAAGGCTCCACCCTGTAAAGACCCTCTAAAGTCCATCCATAATTAGATTAATGGATGGATGGTGAATGGATGATTGAAGAAGCAGATAGATGGATGAATGGATTAATAATTGGATGGATGGATGAATGGCAGGATGGCTTGATTGATGGCTGAATGGATGGATAGATAGATTAATGGATGGAAGACAGATAGATAAATGAATGGATTGATGGACAGATGGATGAAAGGATGGTGAAAAACAGGACCGATTTCTTGAATGATTGAAAAGAATCAGACCCCATGTGGACAGACTAGTGATATGATTCTTGAGGTAATGGACGATTGTGGTGTAAATTGGTGAATGTGCTGTGAATGGGTGAAAAGTGTGTGAATGGATGATTAAATTCGTAAACGAGATGTGAGTGGGTAATTGCAGTGTAAATGGGTGACTGTACAGCAGTGGCGATTGCTCTAAAGGTCCTTACACACCGGGCGAGAATTCGCCAGGCGAATTATTCGCCTTTTTTTAAAACAGCATAAAGTCAATGCGAGCTTCCACACCGGCGGCGATTTCTCCGCGGGGCGAAAAGCCGCTTTTATTTTTTCGCTCCTGTGTCGAATTTTTCGGATATTCGCAGGCGAATATCTGGACCTGCTAGACCTCTGGCCAATCAAAAGTCATGTTGTTGATGACGTCACAGACCCATACGGCTGGAGGAGAGGGAGAAGTTTGAGATTATGAAAACGCAGAGAAAGACAGCTGAGGTGCATCCAAAACTCTTTCTAATTACTAATGAAGTAGTTTTCTCACAAGATGACACTCTCTTGTCTTCCTTAGGAGACAGATGTCATGCACACTTCACAGGGTGACCACCTCATCATGCCTGATTCTCCCTCTCAGCTGTTTGACATACCGATGATCTGCAGCTAAAGGGCCAACAGAATGACCAGACAACTTGAAGGATCACTGCTCAGCCCTCGCCTCTCCTGGCTGCTGCGGTGTCTCTCTCAGCTTTTCCTCCTCTTTCTCCCTCACTCATAATGCTAGACATGTCAATCAGCAGCCGTTCACACGACACACACCACCACCACTGGCACCAAGAGCGACGATGGGAGAGAGGCTGGTAATTGCGGTACAGGACTACCCCGCATCTCCTCTCCTCCGTGCCGCAAAGCGACTTTATTAATTGGCTTTGCAAAAAATATACGCATATTCGCTTCGCGGCCGGTGTGTATAGGCGAAAGCGATTTTTCGGACCGGCGAATATTCGCAATTTTCGTCTCGCTTTTTCGCCTCGCTCCGCAAATTCGCCGGTGTGTAAGGACCTTAAGACTGCAAGGGAAGCTCAGCTTCCCTTAAAATGTCACCCCCACAAAAAAAGAAAAAGTGGTGAAATAGGTACTGCTGTGTGTACATTTCATTAACTAAATACGCGCTAGAAAGCCTTCATCTTTTGTTCAGAATCAGCTTCTTATCACACTGTGATAAGAAGCTGATTCTGCACAACTTCGTTCTCATTCATCCTCGCAGCGCCTCAGCGCTTTAAACAGCCGGACGCTGGGCTTCTGCTGACTTCAGTGTGGAAGCTCAAAGAGGGTTGTTCCAGCAGCGAAACTAGACGCTCATTGGATAAATGCTGGGCTTTGTCCCGCCTATCGGACGCTCAGCTTCACTGGAGTTCTATGGCGAGAGGGCGGTCCCGACTTTCTCCCGGACTCCGAGCTTCTGCATCCATGATTGGATGAGCTGTCTGAGGCGAAATCCTTGTTTGATTGACAGCTTAACAAGCGAATCAGCGATCTTGAAGAATAAAACATCTACCAAAGCATTTTCCAAGTTATTCATTCCGTTGTTCTTAACTGCTCCAGAGACTTTATCGATCCTCAGCGACTTTTGTCTTTGTTAAAAACGACTGCCGTGGTGTTTGGCGACTCCTTTCTGTTACATACTAATAAACAAACACAATTATGATGTAGGCCAGAAAAATGAGCTTCCCCTCCTTGAAAGACCAGCAGCCGCCACTGCTGTACAGTGGATGGGAAAATGTGGTGTGAGTGCAAATGAGGTTTGAATGGGTGAATACAATTTTAATGGGTCTCTCTCCACCTTGATCACGAGTGAGAGAGCTGAGCTGAAGGGCAAAGCTTTCGTTTCTACCTTCACCCATGGTCATGAGCTGTGGGTAGTGACCAAAAAAAACAGATCGCAAGTACAAGCAGCCAAAATGAGTTTCCTCTGCAGAGGCTGGTTCTCCCTTAGAGATAGGGTGAGAGGCTTGGTCATTCAAAGGGGCACGGAGTAGAGCCGCTGCTCCTCCACACTGAGAGGAGTCAGAGGTGGCTTGGGCATCTAATCAGGATGCCTCCTTGGCACCTTGCTGGTCCCACTGGTAGGAGACTGCAGGGAAGATCAAGGACACTTTGGAGAGACTAGGGTTCTCCCAGGGAGAGCTGGATGAAGTGGCTGGGGAGAGGAAAGTCTTGGCTTCTCTGCTTTGGCAGCTGCCCCCGCAACCCGACCCTGGATAAGTGGTTAAAGACGGATGGATGGAGTCTGGGTGAAAATGGTGTGAATGTGGTGTTGATGTAGTGTTAATGTGATGTTGATGGGTGAAAGTTGTAGTAAATGTGTGAATGAGATGTGTATTGGTGAATTTAGAGTGAATAAATGAATGAGGTTTGAATAGGCAAATGAATAGTGATGGAAGAACAGTTCTTTTGACTGAACTGAATCTGAAGAATCCGATCATCAAAACGTCACAGCATCATTCACGGGGTGACACATGTTGTTCATTCGCCAAGCCCTGAAAGAAGAATCACTCCCCTGCCCTGAAAAATTCACCTCTCTATGTTGCGCTGTCGGTGCAAACAACACAGCAGCAAGCAGCACATCTGCTAAATGAGTTGTCATTTTTTTACATCGCAAAAAGTGGAGAGATTGAAAATAAATGAACTTTGTGGCTGTAGCAGAGATTCTGCTACTTTTAAAGATATCAAATAGCATATTGCTTTAAATTGGCTGAAATAAAATCCTTATTGCAGGAAAGTTTATACACGTGTATTAATGCAAAGGC